TTTTACTTTTTTGATTGGCATTTTAAATTCTGTAACAAGTAAAATGGTTTCCTGCGGTGAACATTTTAATGATATAAAGATATTTCATTTAACTATTTTCAACATTATTTGGGGGTGGGGGGAATAAATAAAGGTTTGTAACAGGAACATAGTTGACAATAATCGAACAATATAGAAGAAGGTCTTTGGAAACTGTATGTGACCGTTGAAGACCGGAGATGGTCGAACATAAAACAATTATTTCTTTTTAAGAAAATGATTAAATAGGCCTGCCATTTTATGAATAATTCCGAGCAAAAAATAAATAAAGTAAACACACAAGTTTACGCATAAAAGATCTCTATTTTTTATGACTTATGCCACTACAAATAATTTAGTTTTGTAGATTTTCAGTATAAACAATTTATTGTTTGTAAAATTTGAGATAGATATTGACGAAGCATTGATAATTTTCAAAGACATCATTCAAGTTTATCCACTTTAAACGGTAACATACGTAATTATGAAAAATTAGAAATATCACGTAATAGATTTTGTTCTCAATTAGGTGTAATTCGGGCTAATTCCCCACAGGTAAATCCGTAACGTACCGGCAAACGGTATTTAGCTGGGTTTTCGAAAAGGTCAATTAACCAATCATATACGGTTTACAGATCACATGCTCCTCCATGTACCGAAAACAGGTCACGTGCTCCTCCATGCCTCGAAAGTTAAAAGCGTACCAATACCCTGCGGTCTCCAGACCGCAGGGAATTATTTACAACGAGGGTCACCAATTTCAGTTTGTAATTTATAAAGACCAATGAAAATTCTTCATATATTCAGTTCTTCCTTGTTAATTTTAAAGGAAGTCATATTGATTTCAGACGGACCTAGTCCGAAAAAGAATAAAATTCAAAATAAAAAAATGCAATATTGGCAATTTTCATATAAAGATTAGTGTGGAGAAAATAATGCATAATGCCCATCCAAGAGTAAATAGTGGGTGTATTTGTCAAAATCAAACAACTTTAGGTTCAGGCAAATACCTTATTGTATCAGGCCATGTGTATTATCCATGACCCACGTGACTCACATAAAACGCTATAAATATCATTCAAATGTTTCTTAAACGTTCTGTTTATAGAAAGAGTTGGGCAGTTTTTTTTTCATATTATAGGCAGATGCTATATCTTAACCTAAATTTATTTGTTTATTTGTTTGATTTGGTTTTACGTCACACTGACACAGTATAGGTCATTTGGCGACGCTCAAGCTTTACTGGTGGAGGAAGACCTCAGGTGTCCTTCTGTGCATTATTTCAGACACGAACGGGCACCTGAGAAGAACCACCGACGTTTAGTAAGCAAGCTGAATAGCTTCGTCACATGTCGGGATTCGAACCCACATCGGTGAGGGACAAGTGGTTTGAAGTCAACGACCTTAACCACTCGGCCACGGACGCCCCTTTTAACATTACCATTTTTCGTTATAAAAAATGATCTATGACCATGATAACAGCCAATCATTTTAAAAATATATCCAATTTCAGCTCAACCTGACAACGAAAAAAATAACATACTGTCACTTTAAACCAAACAGTATGATATCTATAAGACAAACAGTCATAACATAAATGAAAGTAACAATTAAATCATCCAAGTGCCTGAAAATACATGTGAAAAAAGAATATCAACGATTACACAGGTTAGAATAACTATAGAAGGGTATAAACAAATCTTACAACTATATACATGTCGAAGTACACCTTTCTTTATTGATCTTTATTCCATGTTATCATAGTCAAAGACAGGCATACATTTTTCTATGAAATATGTACTTAGTTTGTTACGTTTAAAAGCATCCACTGAGGTGTTTTGACATGACAGGACTGGACTTATTTTTTAGAGTTCTGTTCAATTTGATGTAGGTCTAGTCTAAACCAATAATTTGTTTACAAAATTTAGCCGTTTCTCAAAATTATTAAACTTCTAAATAAAAAAACCCCCAAAATTGAAAAGCGTTACAACGCTTTTCACTCAAATCGGGCTAGGAAAAGCACAATAATTCGAGTATGGATTTATTTACAAGTATATTTCTTAATTATCATTTGCCATTTATTGTTTGTTTAAATTTTCCCAGTTTATTTATGACAGAAATTCAAATTTCACAGTTTAGGCTAAAGGAATTTCTTTAAAAAACAAAATACTTGTAACAATTGCAACAATTGGATTTTATGCTACAGTCAGACATTCGCACATAACTGTTCTACAGAGGGCATTCATCAGTTTCTATAGAACTTATAAAGAATGTTATTTATCCCATATAAAATATGTAGATTGTACAAGCGTGACTTTAAAAAAGTCCTAGAATTTTTAAATATACTTTTTGCTTTTGTATACAAGACATAATAGAATAAAAAGTGTTTAAAGTATAGGCACTTTCGATACGATTTCCTGTTTTGCTTGATATATATATATATATATATATATATATATATATATATATATATATATATATATATATATATATATATATATCCTAAACTCGAAAATGTCATCTTCGAACAACATTCACAATAACTACTGGAATACATGAGAGAAAAAACCCACTTCTGCCATGGTATTCAAACTATTTTCAAATCTTCGGTGAAAATAGAATGCGTACAACTAAAAGTTACACAGTTTAATACAAATATAATAATTTTCTTTAGCACATGATCATGCAATTTATGTATTTCGAGTTGTAATTTTGTTGTCAGACAGTTTAAAAGCACCCACACCCTTATTTCAAATGCTTTTAATTTTTATGACGCTTTTTATCTTCAGTGTCCAGTTATAATTTCAGTTTAAAAATCTGTGCTCATTGTTTGAAATGTGAGCTTAATCAATAATCAACTTACAGTAATTGAGAAAATTCCTTCGAAGGTAAGATACCATAATAAATTTATTTGCGTTTAGTTACATTCATAACAAACTATTTAATATTCAAGTAGTTGTTTGTTTGTATTATTTTGCTTTACGATGCATCATCACTGTTAAGGTAATGTAGCGCCCAAACAGGACAAAAAAATTGGCTAACCTCAAGTGTTACAAACTTTAAGCAATACTATACTAGGGGCCAAAACCAGCTCGTCTGCTGGAAGTAAGAAATGCATAGACTTCAATTATTCTCATTATAATCATTAAGTCGCCTTCAACGATAACGCGAGGAATAAACAGGTATATGAGTCATTCTATATTTTCGCAACATTTTCAGTTTAAATATCTTTTACTGAGGGATGATTTTTTTTGGGGTGTGATTAGGGGTATTTCCAAATGTTGATTTTTTACAAGCTTAATATGCCTTTATTTTGTCAAAAGAGCATTGACTATGACCTTGCTACTTCTCTCATGTCACTTCTGTAACACTTTTATATTTAACAGCTAAGAAACTAAGAAAGAGGATACTATGTCTGCTCATTATCATCATTTATCATGCAACAGGTTTGGTAGAATAATTAACTCATATTACAATGGTACCATATACAAATTTTAGATTATATCTGAATTTCTAAAACGTAAATATTTTGAATATCATAGCTTTTATAATTACAAAAATAGTGCATTTAAGGTCATTTCATTTTTTTCTTCAGATGTAAATATCTTCTAAAAGTTAAAAAGTGTTACCTCATCACCGTCTGATAACTCCTTGGTAAAATAATACATGTACGTTTATATGTGCTGTTACATGAGTGAAATAATAAACATTATATAAACTTCTGTTACAACAGTGACAAAAAAAATGCATGCATGGTGCTTCCTTTTTTCCGTACTTTTATTGAATTCTATTTAATTTTATCATATTAGATTAAATGTCATCTGAAAGCTATCAAGTGTTAAATGCACAAAATAAAGGCCTCTGTTATTCTTACTGTTAATGCCAGTGTACCACGTGACTAAGAAAATTATACTGTTACATAGGTAACAGTACTTTTTAACAGTATAAAATCTGGTCACGTGGTCTATTTTCTAAATGAAAATAAATTAAAATGGCTGCCATTTTTTTCTCGATTCATTTTTATTTTCGAAGTTCACCTCGATAGTGCACCATCAGAGTAACTATGACACTCATACAATTTAGTTGTTTGAGTGCTTTTCGCGTATAAAATATCTTTTTGTTGAATATTACAAAGTAAACATCCGTTTTCAACGGAAGTAAATGCAATGTGAATAATAATGTGTCAAACTGGAGCATGCAGATGATTTTAACATTCAAAAAACATTTAACACTTTTAATCAGTTGAATATTATGGATTTCATGGACAGACATATGATGTCATCGTTATTTTGTAAATGCACTTTGTGGAAAACCATGTGAAGAATATTCTGGATACAGAAGGATCAGATTTCACAGATTAAATCGTAATATGAAATAAGGTGCTACCTATGGCGCGGAAAGCTCTTATGAATTATGATTTTGTTTAGTGTACATATAAACCGGTATTTTGTACCGTTAACAAAACAAATAAATTGGTTGTGTTCAACCTATCATCGAAGCGATCGGAATATTCCGAAAATCTGCGAACGTTAAGGGGGACCACTGCGCATGCGTCGGCGCTTGGAAAATCCCGTCCGCAATATTTGTTAATCTCTTTTCACTATTCTTGTTTTAACGTGATTTTTAATGCGCTTATTTATCAAAAATGATATGTCAAAGTAACTTTTATATATTATAATCGTTACTAAAGTTCTTATCAAAGAAATACATGTTAAATGTCTGATTTTGTACATCATTTTTTCACCGGAAGTGTTATTTAGCATGCTTCTGCTAGCAATAGTCTGAATTATGTAGACGCTCATTAAAAGCGTTCTGATATCTATATTTCGATCAAAAGGAATTCAAAATGGCGGCGCCAAGTTGACTAAGGATTTGTTCACAGCTCATTAGGTATAGAATATATATATATATATATATATATATATATATATATATATATATATATATATATATATTTTTTTTTTTTTTTTATTTTTTTTATTTTCATTTACTTTTAATTTGTTTTCATTTGAATTGATACGCGTCGTACATCTTATCTAAACCCCTGTCACACTAGGGCGGCGTTCTCACGTTCTCCAAAGAACATTCAGAACGACGAGGTGAGCGCAGTATGATCGCAAACATCGCTGCACTATCGCCATAGCATCGCAGTGGCATCGCATAGAACGCCGGCCAACGGCGCGCATTTTGAACATGCTCAAAACAAACGCCGTCACTCGGCGTTCTGAAAAGAGCGCTGTGGGATCGCAGTTAGGACGCCGTAGCAATCAAGTAACATCTCGTACAACGCAAAAGGAGCGCCGTGAAAGCGCAGAAGGAACGACGAATAAACGCCGTACTTAGCCACGCCGTTTGTATGGAGATTGTGCGGCGTCTCTATCGCGTTTATACTGCGTGTGTTCGGCGCTTTTACGGAGCTTCTTTTTCTAAAACGCTCTACGGCACTGTCACGGCGACCATTGCGAACTCAAAACGATTCTAATGCGTTCATCTGAAATAGCAGAATACGGTACAGTAGAATCACTACTTAAGACCAACTCAGAATTAAGACAAGCCCTCTATGTAGACACGTTTTAAAAGAACGGAATTTTCTGTTTAAATGTCAATGGTTACATCATCCGCAATTAAGACATCCCCACTTGTCATCATTTAAGACCACCAGCTTTAGTCCCAATTCATTGTTTTATTTATCCAACCCCACTGTTGGGACAACTGATATTCTAGTAAATACCTATTCAGATAACAAGCTTTTTAATGCATGGCATTTGAAAGAATGTGTTAAAACTCTTATGATTAGAATATTGTATAAAGGTAAGACAATAAACGTCAGATTGGTTAAATGTTACTTTCTGCACATTTTGTGTGACGAATTATTTTCTTAATTAATAGGTAAATTATGTACATGAAATAAGACATATTAAAAAATATTATTTATACATTGAATATTGTCAGATTAAAGTTTTAATCGGGATTAATAAATATTATAACATCGGTTTATAGTAATATATGAATATATTAGGTTAATTCAAATAGAGTGGTGATGAAATAGATATGCCTTGATAATTAATTATATCCTCAATTAAGACCAGGCACAATCAAGACCACTTTACAACAGTCCCTATTGTGGTCTTCATTGAGGGTTGTCACTGTATTTATAGAACGTGAATATCATTTTAACCCTTGATGATGAACGGAAGAAAGCTGGAATATTGCCTGATTTCATGCAGATGCAACAGGTACACAACTTTTCAGAATGAGTAATCGCTTGTATGTAAAGCACGATTTCAGCGCAGTATGAGCGTCACAATAGCGCCGTGTGAGCGCTGTGAGAGCGCAGAGGAAGCGCAAAGAATCCAGTAGGAGCGCAATTCAAACACAGACAATCGCCAATGAAAACGCCGTAAGAACGCATTACAACGCCGTGGAAGCTCCGAAGCAACGCCATGATTGCCGTGAGGACGCCATGAAGTCTCCATGTCATCAAAATTATCAAACTGTTCTTGCGATGACAAATTTAACAACGCCGTGCAAACGCAGTGAAAGCGCAGTCTAGTGTGACAGGACCTTAAGAGCGCTACAGACCTGTCCCGCCCGGACTGTCCGCGTATACATGGGTTAGTGGTTTTTTTTCCAAATAAAACACAGCTTATAGTATGTTTATGACTAGTAGATATCATCACTTGCTGAAATATAAAGGGAAAATGTTCTCAAGTATGCCTACAGTACAGAACACTTAAAACTTGCAAGGTCATGACAGTTTAGTTATTGTTACTCTTGGTTTAATTTCGTTACAGTTGGATTTAGTTGACAATTTCAGATCATCACAGTATTTTTTTAGGGGTAATACAATGAATAACACATGGGTTTGTGAGTACCAGTAAAACAATCATCCCTCGTAAAATTCTGTTACTCTCGGTAATAGTATTTTAGTCTTGAGGATATTTTTACTATTAAAATCCATGTGCTATTCATACAATACCCGTTACAGGAGTGACGGGAATAAAAATTATGCAAGTACTTGCCAACAGCAGAATGCGTTTTCCAAATTATGCTAACAAGACAATCCTCTATTGACCCTCATGTTTTACTATTTTAAGAATTTTCTTTATACAGTGTAACTTCTGAAAACCGAACACCCATGGGTCTTGTCAAAAAGTTCAGATTTCAGAGTTTTCCGGAATTCAGAGGTTTAGGATAATGTGGACAAGACTAAGCCACTAAATGTCACTAAGTGTCAAGGAAAATGTGGCCATTAATTTATTATCAGTTTGCAGAAATTGAAAATATAGAATGACCTATATACGATCATTTTATTTATGCTGTTAACCAAACATATTTTTAAGCCAATGCAACTCGAATCAAAATGTTAATTATTAATAATTAAAATTGGCAAGCTCTTTTACCTAGACCGTGTATTTCTACAACAAAGCAAAGAATGTCTTCTTGTTAAAATGCAATAAAACATTGCGAAGTCAGTGACAAAAAACAAACAAAAACAATCACCCACGAAAAACACTTAATTGTCTTGTTTTATCTCAATACTCGAAACACTGATACATTTTAACACTTAATCTTTAATAAAAAGTCGACAAATTCTTTGTAGTATTAACAACCACCTCTGGCTGACATCAGGATTTCGAAATCGGACAGGACCGTGTAAAGTGTTTTATATATCCTACTAAATTTCCCAAACTGCTGTGGGCTTATATACTCCATCACTAATGCTGTTCCCATTAATGGATACCGGAAACTGAAAATAAAGAATATTGTTAACAACTTTGACTGTTTAACGGCATGTACACCTAACATATCGCATGTTTTAAAAGCTTTTATTTTATTAAGATAACTTTAAATTTCCATTAACAGACTTATTAAAATCATGCCTGCAACAAAAGATTTTATACCGTGATTTATAATTTTTTAAAGTCTCAAGTTTGATAATGTTACATCATTTCATGCTGGTGATACAGGAAAGTCGTTCAATACAGAAAACGGGATATTCCCTCGATGCAATGTTAACAAAGCAAATAGTTGAACATTTCAAACTTATCTTTAATCATTTAAGAGACAATACGTAATGCACAAAGTTTCCAACGCCCTCTAGCACTGGATTGACCAATATCCTTGATACCTACTGCCATGAGTATAAAAAGTATGGAAATGGGGCAAATTTTGTATTATTCAGTCTGTTTATGCGAGATAACGTAAAGTAGAAATTTTACCACGCCCCCTAGCACCGGATTAACCGATATCCTTGATGTCGTGATTAAAACAGTGTAAAAACGGGAGATCACTCGGAATAAATGGTAACATAGCGAAAAGCTCGGTTTATATTTAGTCTGTTCGTTGAGATATGACACCATTTGCAGCAATTTTCACAACGAAGTTTGATGATTTTCTTTTGTTATAGAACAATGTAAAATACCATTTAAAACTTAAGTTTTTCAAGTTTTAACTTGTGAAAAATATTTAAACAGTAACATAGTGTTTAAAAAAGATTATTTCAACAGGTACAATGTAAATAAAGTAAACGTTTTATTTTTGCATTCAATGAACATACAGTTTAATTAAAAAAATTGGAACATTTATTTTATTCACCTTACATTTTAACCATATCTTTAATGTGCCATTTTTTGCGTATGGTACTATCCATTATCATTTAAAATAAAGTACTTTAAAACACTTCATTTGCTCACATTTGTCCTCCATCATCGATAACTTCATTGCCTTCTTTGCCTATTATTATGTAAGTTTTTTCTTCTTCCAATGCTGGGAATTGACATGAGTACTTCCAGAAAAATTGCATGTTGTCGCCTGGTACAAGATCCTCTATCCCTATAAAATGACGTTACAAAATAAAAAGGTTGTTAATATGCCGTGTATATATTATTTTTTATTAATGCAGACGGAACATTCAAAATCGTCGACATTATCCTTACGTTCTAAATGTGCAGATAAATTGTATGTCTCATTTGCAATTATTTCACATCAGCTATACATACGCAATATTTGCAATGGCAAGGGATCAGTAAATACGTCACAGGCAAACCAAGCTTTTGGAAACATTCGTAAATATGATGCGAGTCGTGCAATTCCATACCAACATCTAAGCGAGAAAGGTAAGCGCTGGAGTTTAACATTTAAGGTTAAGTGAAACTGGCAATACCATGATTAAAACAGTCGCAATGAAGTAAATAGAAATGCCTGTTGAAAAAATACACAAATGGAATGAAGAAGATTTTATAAGTTTAAGAAAATCTGATACAGACATTTAGATTTTTAAGTTTCACTTTATATTTGCACATAAATAAATAGAAAAGTTGCATATAGTCTCTCGTGTGTCCAGTGCGAAGTTCATGGAATATCTAAAAAAAACTTGTCTGATATATGTTAGAAAGGAAGAAGGGAAGCAATACAGATGATTTGTAATGAAATTTCAATCTTTTAATAAACATCGAAGGACACAAGTCAAAACATTATGTATCTAATCAAATGAGTGTAACTGTATAGAGGCACTCACGAGTGTGTGGGTTCAACACTGAATTTATTGAACGAGTTGAACAAAAATTAAAAAAAGCGAGCATAATATTAATTTATTCAACGAGATCAAATAATTTAGAAATGAAACTAAACGAACATAATATTATATTTATAATGTAACAAAAAGAACCATTTTTCTGGTAAAAATATATTTCATTGATAAAACGTGCATTTAATTAAATTAACGCTATGCCTGTTAAACTTAAGTGACGTCACGTCAATATATGCAAGGCCGTGCACTTTCATTTTTACGGAGTCGCAAAATCAGCACAGTTCTGAGAAAAAAACTATGTACATAATACGCTGATTTCACTTTCATAATTTTTAATATAAAAGTAGAACCTTTTAGGCACATTATGCCTCAGAAATCGATAATGTTTTATTGTATAGAAATAGTAAACACGTGTTTAACAGTTTTAAAAATAGATTAAGAACATGTACGAGACAAGATGTTTAACAACCGAAGTGGCGCTGAACGTGATTTAATGTGTCATAAAAGTAGCAAAATCTAAACGAATTAGTAGACTTCTATTAAAATACTAAATCACTATTATAATTATACCGATTGCTAACAAATCAAAGACAGCAAAGTAAAAAAATAATAAAATTAAAGGGCCAAAACAAAAAAAAAATAGAAATAAAAATGATAAAAAATGTCAGCATATCAATAATGTGATAACATATCTGAGTCATAATAAGCCTTTAAGAACAACAATGGAAACATTCGTAAAACTATTATGGTCATTAACAGTTTAAAAATATGAACTAACAATGATGAGGTCGACAAAGATGATGATCATGGTGGCGTCGCATGATAACTGTTTTTTGTAGTGATGATATTGATGATTATTTTGGCTATTCTTACCTTGATTGATTACCTTTATCACAGTGCCTCTTGCAATTTTATCTTGGCTGTCGACATCATATGTAACCTCGTCTACTCTTACGCGTACAGCTGAAATGAAATTTATTTATTAAAGTTGACTATGTAAGTTGTTATCTGTTTTAAGGAAGCAAAGATGAATACAATTTTGCAGGAAATGTTTACGGCATTCATGTCTATCCGATAAGCAATACTTCCGTTTAATTGAAATTTTAAACAAACAACTCATTTAAGGTAAACTACTTTGTATAATACGCATTTTCCTTTACAAGCATGACATTAAAGAAGCATTCTATGTTCAGATGTCATTTTATAAAAGCTAGGAATGTGTCCCTAGGACACGGATGCCCCAACACTACACTGCCAGATTTATCCACAAGCAAATCCCCGTTGAACAACTTCTAATGCTACTCAACATTCCTGTAAATTTTGATAAAATAGATAAATACAGAATCCTTAAAGAAAGCCCAACACGGCAAAATTGAAAATGTTGCAGGCTCGGTTTGATTGAGCCTGTTCATGGACGGTACTGGAAAGTGCAAGTTACCGTCCACGCCCCCTAGCACCTGCTTAAGCAGAATTCAACATCTAACATGAACTGGTAAAATTTAGAATTTTGAAACATCCGCAGATGTGTTCATATGGCGGTTATCATGGAACCTTCAATGTGACACGGTAGTGCCATTCCATGAAAAGCAGCATATGGTCCACAAGTAAAAAAATGCGTGTGCCCTAAACGTGAAAACAATGGGCGGAACTAAATAAAATGGAATTTTGAAAGGGGATCTGAGGTTATGAAGCCTGCGTATCACAGATAGGACGTCAAAAGACAAATTTAAAAAGCAGGCAACATATCCTACGGGTGATTCAACATTATTCAAGTAGGAATATTGGAACCACCCAACTAGAAAGTGCCAAAAAGTTGAAACTAAAAATACCACAAGCACAACAATAATGTCGTGCTGAACGATCTTCAAGGATCGAAAATATAACCTAGCTCAAGAACTTTAAGAGGTACACGTGACAAGAGGGAACGCAAGCACACACACGCGCTAGGACGGACAAGGGCAAATATTAACGCCCCTCACTCCCTATAGTGAAGGAGGGGCACAGCATTTTTAATTTAGCGTTAAATCGAATCCTATAACTCTATAACTTACCATAGTTTGCTTTATCCTCGTTACATGCGTGTTGGTACAATTTCATAAAAGGTCTTTCTCTCTCTTGATTACCATTTCAATTTGAGTTTCCATCGGTTGAAGACACATACCTACAAAAACAAAATTTAATCCATTACCACGTATACACACCTTTTAACGCCTTGTCACCCCGTTTTTAAAGCCTCAAAAGGTGAAAAAGCCTTATTTAGGCCCCAAAATTCTTGTTGTTTGTGAAAAATTGTTAAAGATGTGATCACTTTTTCGGCGCCGCCCGTATCAAAAGGAAACATCAGGGGGCTGCCAGAGGGGGTGTCCCCATCTTCTTAGGAGTTTGAAGGGGTGGGGTGGTACTGCCTTCTTAATCGCAAAAAAAATGAGGACTTGTGAGAGGCTAAAATGACCTCAGGTCGATCATAAGGTAACGTGTAACCAACATGAATTTGTAAAATACAATAGTTAAAAAGCTGGATAATATTGTGACATTTCTTTTTTTATATTTCTATTTGGTTTTATAATTTGAAAAAATACCCATTATGCCATATCTTCTAAAAAAAGAAAAGGTAAAATAACATAAAATATTAACAAAACTCACTGTTTAAGCATGTACACTCCTTCATATCTTTCCCGCATTGGTACGAGACACTCCTATCTTTATTTGGGCCAGTGCCATAAAACTGAGTACAATGCTTATCTGTAGAAAATATTATTGCCATTGTATAAATTCCATGTAAAGAAACATAAGCAAATAGAAGACAGTAAAGAGCCTGCTCAAAACGTGATCGTTTCGGCCTGTAAGCGAGTAACTTCAAAATATCATTATGATTTTTTGAACAATTTTGTTGGAAATATATTACTAGTGAAGAGAGTAATGTAAAACAGTTTGCCAGCTCTTCAATTTGTAGATAAAAATGTTTAATGAAATGACAGTCATTTCCCAAATTGAACTCGAATGTTAATAAATAGAGGATATTTGTTTGTTTTTGTGCAAGATGAAATTTTATTTCATCGTGTGAGCTTTAATAAAATCACTCGTGAGAATTCTATTTTTAACTTAACGAGTTGAAATAAAATAATATCTTACACAACAAACCATCAGTTATTCTTTATAATTGAAATTTCCCCAATATTAACTTGAATATTCAACTGGTAGTCCTCAATTTCAGACGAATCTCTCCTAAATACGAAAAGTCTTTAGCTAAAAAAGTTCAGAAATCAACGTTGAATGGTGATGATACTACATGTATTTATCTTATTATGGATAATCGCTGCTTTTAATAATGAGGACAAGCAATTCTAGAACAAAAACAGTTAAACCACGCCAAGCTTATTTCCGTTATTTCTCGCGGAAGGTTATATTAGTCTATCCTTTGAAATGTAAGCGGCCGCAATTTTTAAAAGTTGTGTATTTCACGGGAGGAAGAAATAAAATGTGCTTGATTCATAGGGATTTCATTTGGATTTGTTTTTCTTACATCTGTTTATTAGAAAGAAAAAATATTTGAGGATTGATTTAGTCAATACATCACTGTTGACAGATATTTAAACATTCAAGGAGCGACTAGGGATTTAAAAAACATAAACTTTTTTGAAACTGAAAGGCTGTAGTTCGATTGCTGGGTTGTTTACTTTTCCTTCGGGCTTATGACTTTCATAATAAATATGCTTAAATGTTATCAAGAGCAGTTTGCATGTAGAAGGAAGTGTATGTTTTTGTCTTAAAATTAATTTAAAATAAGAGACGATATTTATTGACTACTCATTGTTTCACAGGGATAATCAAATATCAACAGGGATGGCATCTAATGAATGTATATCAAAACACAACAAAACAACACAATGTTACCGGAAAATTGCTCATCAGGACAAAAACAAGAATGCGCATAAGGGCAAAGCACGGACAGTTAGTATTACAATTTATTTAAAATAGGAAATCATAATAAACTCTACAGAGCTACGCCCTCAAGTGACTGCTTTCATAAATATCATGAGACCATAGAAAATGGGACAGGACTCCACAATGGAGGCAATGGTTCGGTTGTTCAGTATGTTTGTATCCCCTGCGCATTTATCAAAACTTCTTAAGCACACATTGAGATTTAGTGAGACACGCCCATTTCAGGCATGGCTTTATCAGTTTATTCTGGAAATGATGCTTATTCAATTTATTTTACATATGTCATCATGTTAATGTTCATGTTTATTATTCTTATTTAAACAATGGTTATAGTTAAAAGTCTCTTACCACTGACTCAGACATCAAGTTGGATATTGCGGAGAAACTAGTTATTACTGGTTAGTTTTATCCAAGAAAATCGGGTAATTGGAGCATCAGCTATTATATGATTAAAATGTGTTAAAACTGCCCTATATCAAACAACCAAACAAACAAACCTGGGTTGTAGTAGTCGTAAACATAAACTGAAGATGATTGTCTTGAACTTATTTCTCCATCAAAGTTATCCTTTAATCGGAATACAAAATATGTCTTGCTTGAAGAAATCTAGTACAATGAAAATAGAAAAGGAAAGTTTAAGATGTACGGGGGTGTTCTAGAAATATCCGGAATTAATCCATAAATTTAATGATATATATTTTATGTTCATACAAGTAACACTATATTATTGTGAAATATAACCTCTTGACAAGGAAACAAGAATTATAATGATTCAACATATTATGCTCTAAGCAATCATAGTAATGCGCATGCACAGATAAGTCCAACAATCTGAAAACATCTTTACTTATAAAAGACCCATTGTTTGACTAAAAGATACTTGTCTTGGATTTCTTTTTGCCATTTTTGAAGATTTGAAGAATACTACTTTGACTGTCGACTAATGTTTTATGAAAGTGCCGCTTTCCTGACACTTTAATTAATGGCGATGTTTTTTTAAACAAATAAGCGTCGCAATTAGAGACCTGCAAACTTGATTGCACAATAAAAAATTCCAATGTTCAAATGACGTGAAATTTTGGCATGACATTATCGGGTTTAAAGCACCAAGCGTGGATAAATTTTGGTCAATATCAAGCACCTTTGTGTAAAAGAAATGTCAAAGAACGTCGCCTTTTTTTTAGCTGCGCCGCTAAAGCGTTTCCGATGTATTTTAAGGCGACCTTAGACGGTACCGGGTGCCATCAAATTACATTTTGCAATTAAATAGATGAAACATCAATTTTGTGCATTTATAAATTTAATGAAGAAAACATGAAGTTTGTCAGATATATAAACAATTAACGGATCATTCTGGATAATCCCTTAAATGTTTTGTCATGATAAAAGGAAAAATTCATTCGTTGAAGTGAGTATTACTACCGGTTGAATACTTAAATCCATATGGAATAATGATTCCTGAGCAGCAACATAAAAAAATAGCAAGATTTTACCTTTTCTACCACTACACCACCTGTCATAAGCCAATCAACTGATATAATATCTTCATGTAAAAACTTGACAATAGTATGCATGCCCCTGCGGGGTTAGTAGTATGATATAAAAAAATAGTCCCACCAAATTTCAAAGGACTATTTTTCAATAGATTATAGTCCAGCCTTCGAATTTTACGCTTTAAGCTCATGTGATTGCATGTCTCGATCAAGACGAAATTAGCTCTTATTTTGTTTAAATAACAAACAAATTAGACAGCGAATAGTAAAGTACCAATTTAATGAAGTAACGGTATAATGGTCTACTTCATATTACAAACATTATTAACAGGTTAGATTTTGTTATTGGAGAATTTGTTAAAGCTAAATCTGTTTCGCCAGAAAATAGTTTATATGTGACGCGTAGGTGTATTTTTGGATCGTCGTTTAATAGTCAAAATCTTATTCTATTAGTTCATTTGCTATAAAAATCGGTCCCCATTTACAAGTTGTTTCTGTTTTAGGGTGGGAAGAATTTGAACAAAAATGTCCCTTTTTACAAAAAACGCCATTCAAAAGTCGATGTTTTGTTATTTTCAATGTTTTTATATGTTTCACAATAAATTGGAAAAAAATGCGACTATATTTTGATATCGATTATATCAGGCGAGACTGATATGGGAAGAAATGGCTCGACAAGTATCGCCCATGCCGGCCAAAATCAGCATTGCCTTATAAAACACAAAAAGCTGTATTATAAAGTTTAATTGTTTAACTTTCTTTCTTTTTTGTCAATATTCAGTTAATTGTCTTTTCACAATACCCATTTAAACTAGTTTATAATTACACGGACGTGAGTACATAAAATAATTTTGCATCAAGGCGTAATATTTTTAAAAGAAATTTATTATCAACCTTCATCCTTTTTAAAGTACATGTAAATATATTGGGTTATATTACAACTTTGCTACGTTGAATACAGTTCTTATTTGAAACTAATTAGTATCATTTTCATTAATATTTATATTTATGCACGCTTAATGTCAAGTTGATGTTTCAACCTGAACGAGAGATACGTCGCTTAAATTCAAAATTAGTAGAACAAGTTGTCTTGATTTTATACGTTTTTAAAACTAAATATTAGTACAATCAAATCATAAAATATAAACACATTTGTATGAATCTCGCTGAGGTCCTGATTCCGGGCTGAACTTAATTGTTGAACTTGAATGTTACCAATTTTGCAATTTAGGAAATAATAAATGTATATTTTGTAAAATAGGATGAATCTTAATTAATTAATTACAGGCTTTTTAGTCAACAGTAAAATTCAGTTTTGATAATTTCAATGTGATATTATCAAAAGATAATTTTTTATGTAGCCGGACACTTTCTGAATACGAATACAAATAGTAATTATTAAACAAGTTGTTATATCGTTAGAAATACATTTCGTTGTAAGTTAAATGTGCTTGATAACGAGATGCACATGGATATCTGTACATATGATTTTAAAAGGGTAACAAAATAAGTATAATTCGTAAACTTTTAAATGGATAAGCGGATTGTGAATGATCAAACTAGCCCAAGGTGAGCATTGTGTGCTTTTTTGAACAATAAAAGCTAGAGAAATGAAAACAAACCTCGTGTAAGTAAAACACAATAAAACCTTTACCATCAGACAGCATTTCGTAATTTGCAATGATTATGTTGTTCTCTTTAACGAGCTGCAAGAAAGAAATGATGATTTTTTTTTATTTTAAACATATGAAAGTCATACCTTTCTTATATATGTTTTACGAGGTATTCTTTCAGAACAGCAAAACAACTCATTTTACAAATCTTATTTGGGAAGAAACGGACCTTTAAACAGTAAAATGTTGTCCTATAAACGTACAATAGATTCTAACATCGACATGAAAACGTGACAAAAGGCAGTGTTTGTTTATATAAATGTCATTGATAAACATCAGGTTCCTCATTTATCACAAACAGAATGAAATAAATAAATAAATAAATAAATAAATATAAATAAATAACAAAACAAACAAAAACAAAAATAGCATGTTTTGTCGAACCAAACTAAGATACTGTTGCACTATATAAGTACTTTAGAAATCTTTGACTCAGTTTGACTGACTTTGATCATGAATTATAATAGAATTTTACTTTAACTAATGACACCATGAACCAGCGTATTATTTAGTCTTCGACAAATATTTGGAATGATAAAGTTTTTAATACCTTTTCTATATCAGACTTTATCACTTCGACACCTGTCTCTAGCCCAAACTTCACAATAGACATACCATATTTTTTATTATTCTTAGAGCTACATTAAAACAAATGATAAAACATACTTTACACTTGTTCCATTCATTGTACATTTAGCTCTTAGTGTTTGAAAGAATAACTGAAAAATTTCAACACACTTTCAAGTTTATTACTCAAATACCGGTCTATGAGTACGTTTTATTCTTATGATTTCACAGTGGTACTGGTATCAAAATAAAATGTCATTTCTGTCAGCTGATGTATAAATGGAATCGAACTTTGCGTAGTTAGTAAAATATACGGACAACTGCAAGAATAAAATTATTTTCACACTCTTAAATATAACTTAAAAGACTTTCTTTTCAAATATGTGCGAATCCATTATGTAAGGATTGGCACCGGACAGTTTTCTTCACAAATTGCGCTTTTCTGTATAACTTAAAAACTATGTAGTGACTTTTAACTGAAAATAAAATTAAATACTATAAAATGAAAACTGCCATTTTACAAATAAAAGTATTCATCCTTTTTAATTGCGAATTTAAATGCCAACTGCTGGACATTAACCTTGTGTCTACTTATCGTCTTTTGAGCACAGACGAATCGCCTTTTCTGAATAACTAACAAGTAATCATTACTAGCAAGTGGCCAATTACTTATGTCTCAAGATTTCCGAATCAGCTGCGACAGACAAATGACTATTAAACACGCACATTTATTTCGTCTCGTCCGTGATCTAACCAGCGACATCTGTAAACTGGGAATCTGTGCAAGAAAATACACCTGTTAAATCCCGTCATACTTTAAAGTTAGCGTGTTGATTTCTTAAAAACTAACATATGTTTTGTGATGCTTACTTTGGAATCAAGTAATACAGAAAAATGCTTACCTTATACTGAAACGAATGCATCTTTCCTGAGTTGTCTCACGGATACGACGACTACCTGCGGCTCTTTTCTTTTTTCCAAAAATACTTCCTGTCTTAGGATCCCTTACTGGTGCATCTCCAAAATAATCGCTGTCGTAGATATCTGTATTGTTGCTATCACCCTGATCACAACGGCCACACACATCACAGTTTCTGTAGACCAGCGATAAATAATTAATATCTGACCGGGTCAATGCTAGATTGTGCAATATTGATATGCTTTTGTTTTGTTGGATATGTCCCGATGGTATTCATGTAAATCACAAAGACCCATGCTCAATTTCACTGGTAAAAAGGAGTAAAGGTGGCCTTTTCATTGATCTATCTTTGAATATCGGAAGAGTCAAATAATGATATATCTTACTCCTTTTTTCAGAAATGAGAGCGATATCGAAAACGTTCGGATTGATTCATTATATTCTTACGTTTGTACTAGAGGGAAATGGAATACAGACTTATTCACAAGCAGTATGCTATAATTCTTATATTCAAAAATCTGTTTTAAAGGTTTATACTAAAACACCTTTAAAACTATATATTTATTTAAACTTCTTTTGGAATTTCATCAAAGACGACTCTTTTCGGCAAATTAGATTAAATCTATTTATTTTTAATATTAATATTTAATTTGAAATATCTTCATGATATGTGCATAGTACTAAATTTAAGAAAAAATAATCTTATCTGAGTATGCCGAAAATAACTTTCTACGATTAAAGTTAATGTGTCACACCTTTTCATTAAAATATATTATTGTTAATTGATAGCCTTGATAAGTTCTCTGTGTACTTTAAATATATTTTAAATATATACATTTATTTTTCGGAATCGGTTCATATACAAATAAAAGGAAGTTTGTTTTATATACCTTTCCTGTGTCCAATTTGCATCAATTGGTACATCTTCGACGTCTTGAATATCAATATCAGTTATGTTAAATGGACACGTGTCTTCTTCAGTGGTGGCTGGCCTGTTATAACGAAGATCAATTGAAATAATCGCACGTCCGCTACCCTCAACTATTACTGAAAGTTTATTAACTTTGGTCTCGACAAGGAACTATGGATGAAAAGAAATAATGTTTTTATTGACATTGCCATTTAGGTTTAATCAAACTAAACGACAACATTTTTTTCATATTGTTTTCTTAATGAATGCATCTAAATTAAAAGTCTTTGAAATAAAAAGAATTATTTAACACAAACGCCAAACATTTGAATTTTATTTTCATATGCTTTCTCATATTGTTATGAATTTCAAACTTTGTGTTATTAAAACACACACAAACACTGCTTAGGGCATATAATGACTTTCAAGATTTTAAGTAACCCTTCATTGACTTTACATTGCACATGCAAGCCATAAGCAAGAATAAGACCACCGATCTTCAAAGACATAGCTACCCAGTCTGATTAAATCAGCTCCAATATAACGCTTCACAATACATAAAAAGTAGATCTGGACTATAGTCAGATTGGCTCGCTCCCTTTTTTATATTCTGCCACCCCTGTCTACCATTTAGAATCTCATAAGCGAACGGAAGTAGTCACGTGACCAATCACTGGCAGAACAACGCTATTTTAGAACTGACCACTTGTGGATCTTACGTGAAATATAATAAAAATAGTTTATATAGTTAAGGATTGTTATCTGTTGAAAGTTTTATTACCTTTTCGTACCAAAATAGACTTTATCTATCGTGTCACCTCATTAAAAACATGCAGTAGTGAATTATTATTTCTTTGTGATTAGAACTTTTTGGACTAATACAATTATGGCAATAGGGTTAGCTACGCAGAGTGAGTTAAACCTTTTTACAAATGGGTCTCCTCAGGATTATAATCCCTTAAAGGCATCTGTTGTCCCAGGCATAACTGTCAAAGCCGGGCAAATTTGAATCCCGCTTAAATGTTTTTAGATATATTACGAGATTGAAAGAAAAAGAGCAAAGAAAAACTCAAGTACACCCATGTCAACAAGAGGACAGTTTTGTGCAGCGAAAATGTGTTTTAAAACAATGCATATATAATTAGAAATGAATTAAGTAAGTTGCTTTATGTGAAAATATGTGTTCCTTTGTACAAGCCACAATAGTGCACAAAGCCACAACACAAACGCACACCACCCACTAGGTGCTGTTCTCAAAAAACATATATACATATCGTATTGAAAACGAAATTGAATCATTAAAAATGTCTTTGAACAAAATGGCAACAATGGGAGAATCTACCACAGCAACATTTGATCATGAAATAAGCCAAACAAAATAAAGCCACAACAAAAAGCACAAATAAGCACAATTATCAGATCTTTATGAAATAAAAGAAATATTTAATGAGTTAGACAAAAAGATTTGTGATAAAATGAATACTCTAGATGAAAAATTTGAAAAGAAAAGAAATGAAAAGAAAAGTAATTGTATTTGGAAACATGCCTAAAATATCAAAACAAGTACTAGAAAAAAATGAAAAGTGTCAAAGATGAAAAGCATGTCTAATAAAAAATTAGTGAAATGGACAAAAAATGTGCTTATGTTAGAAAATCAAGATAGAAAATATAACCCTGATAACCAAAATGAAGATATGAAAGAAACATACCTTCACTATGTCCGAAATGAAGGAAACGGCCCAAACCCAATCATTTTGAGATTTTTGTCCTTAGGTGATAGGGACCTGGTCCTCTCATATATTTACTTTCAGTGCTGAGGCAGGAAAGGAAAAGCATCATTACATACTTACCTGTTGTAAAGAAGAGAGAAAGGGGAAGACTTGCCAAAATTGCTTATTCCGTAAGACTCAGAGAAAAACTTAAAGAAAGAGGCTTAGATGTGTATCTGCAAGTCAGAAAAGGAAAAGAGGACATTTTGGTAATAAGAGAAGTCTTGAAAGGAGATAAGAAGTGTTGGAGCCTGCAAAAGATCAATTTAAAAAGCAAAACACGTCTCCTAAGGGTAATAAAAAATATTCAGGTAAGTAATGTTTGAACCTCCCAAAACTAAAAGTATCACAATAATGTTGTGTTGAACGATCTTAATGGGCAAGATAGATATATATTCTTTGATTATAGGGTGACTTTACGGCCTGCACACGACACAAACAACGCTTATGTGGCAATAGAAATAGGGAGAAAAAGAATATCTTAATAAAGTTTAAAACGGCAAAATATAAAATGTTGAAGGCTCGGTTTGATTGAGTCTGTTCATGGACAGTATTGTAAAGTGAAAGCTATTGTCAACCCTTCCTAGCACCGGATTCAACATTTAAACAGGATAATGGTGATTTTTAAATTCAGAAACATCCACAGATGTGTTCATACGGCGGTTATCATGGTAACCTAAATGAGACACTTACTAACGTTCCTTGAAAAGCGGGGTATGATCCAAAGTAAAAGCATATATGTGTCCGTCACGAGAGAACAATGGGCAAAACTAAATAAAATGAATTTTGAAAGGGGATCAGAGGTTATGAAAGTTGTATTTCACAATCTGTAAGTAGAACTCCGCGAGTCGAATGCCTTGTTAACAGAATAGCTGTCACTTAAACATTTTCTTCTTAAATATAGATGATTGCTCTAAAATATACATGTTCGTTAAAAATTTGTTGCATTTGATCTAACTGTAATAATGTAACATAAGGATTTATAAAACTGTAATATCAAAATAAAATTAATAAAAATACAAGTACTATGGAAACGTTTAAGACTGACAGATCAAATGGAGGACTCTGTGATGGAATCTTAAACTCTGCACTTAATGTCAATGAAAAAGCTAACATTCCAAATATGGAGTCAATCAAACTTATAGTGACCAAGTTATGCGCTGGACAAACCTATTAAGTAGGATCATTAACAAAGGATAATAACTAAAAAACCATGAAGTGTAAAAAAGTGTACACTGCAATTTTTCTTTACGATCATCCGATAAAAATTCAAGTCAATAGCTTTAAAAATGTAAGAGAATTGGCCCCGACAAAATAAAGTGATATAAGTAACAAAGGACAAAATCTCTAAAACCATGAAGTAAAAAGTAACGGTTTTTAAGCACTGCACTCTTTCCTAATGTGATCTATCATCCTATGAAGATTCAAATCCATAGCTTTAATAGTTAAGGAGAAATCGCTCGACAAAAATAAAATATGAAAATAATAGGCAAACTCAAAAAAACAAGAGGCGCAGAAGCGTGCACAACAAGTTTTGAGCCAATCCGACTTATAGGGACTGAGTTATGCCCAAAACAAGCTTTAGAGGACGCCGCTGTCAATGCCGACACCAATAACGATGCCGACACCGACGCCGCCGACAAAGGTAACCCCTACATGTAGACTATTTCAAAATGACACACAATAAAAAAAAAACAATTTGAAAAGCATACCACATATCTTAATGGTGATTATACAGTATTCGAGAAAGAAATTTAGAAGCCACCAAAGTGGAAATAAACCAGTAAGAAAAAAAAGTACCACACACACAACAAAAACCATATCATGTTTAACTTTATCTTAATATCGGAAACATAACATCTCTGATTGCTTGTACGGGGCGACTTTTTATGGCCTCCACACAATTACAAACGCTGTATTGTATTTATTGGACATCGGTCAAAGAAAGGTATGCTAAACATTAAGCAAATTTTGGCAAAACGGAAACTATCTTGTCGGTCAGAGGTTCTCAGAGACGCATAGGATCAAATGCATGTCTACTGGAGTTCAATCACATGTTATCACTTAAGCTTTTATCACGCAAGAAATGCTTTCATAATACATGACCTTTTCTCCTCTCTTATAACTCTGAATGAAACTTATTTAAACATAATAAGAAGGCACCTACTTGCCATGGGAAATGTTCCTCTCAAGTTTCACAAATTTATACTCATCACATGTTTTTTTACTGTCACAGTGGCTATGACATTTGACTTAGTGACCACATCATACTTGTATATAGGTGTTACCTATTGCCCTTTGATAGTGCAACAAACCACGGCTTATTCCTTTTTCAGTGGTTTATGGAATATGATTTAAGGGCGTACGTTTATTAAGGTTATATTAAGATTGTTCCTGTGGATAATGACACATCGTGCAATTTTTCAGGCTCAAGCAGGCATCTGGATAGGACCACCAACCTTTTCTAAGCTAGCTTAATGCTTATTAAAATAACATAATTTGAAAACACTAAGAGGAGAGTTGTTTAATTTATTGACCTTAACCACGCAGTCAGAAAGCCCTGATAAAAATTATCAGAATATATCTTACATTTTCTACAATGTGCTGAACAGTACCATTTTCTGTAATAATTTGTCTTTCTTTACCAACCCAGTTGTCTGCTACCAATGTAACATTGAGGCTAAAATCATGAGATTTGGTATCGATTTCATACTGAGACAATGCTTGCAAGCCAACCACTGTATCCTAGACAAGTGAAAAAACAGTCAATAATTTATTTGTTTTGTACTCTAAGCTTTTTGTAAAAGAAATACTGATTTGACCAGATGATTCCGTATGTACAATGCTTACAATCGTTTGATAATAATACTAATAATGAAAATAATTAATAATAATAATAATAATAATAATAATAGTAATAATAACAATTATAATAATGATGATAATGATGATGATGATCATGATGATGATCGGTCTCATCATGCCAATGATGTAATAACAACTTTAACGATTATGATAATGAATATGATGAAAATGGATAAAAGAAAAGCAATAACGATTATCGATGGATAAGTGCTATAAGTACATATACCTGACTCAAATGAGCTTCAAGTTACAACCGTACTCGGATATTGATAACTCACGATAAATAGTAATTGCTTTTTGACTTATGACCAATCTTTATTAAATATCAGTTTCAAGGTTACCTGTGTTGTTCTGAATGATCCTGTAGCATTTCGTTGAGAGGTAAGCCAACTTACAATTGATGAACTTGTTTTAATGTCCCCGTATTGTAACAAAGCAAGTAGAGCGTATGCAGTTGTTTCTACAGAATTGGCGTTTGCTGTTTTACCTCCCGAGTTTCCCCAGAATGTACCCTCTGCAAGATACCATGTTTTACACAGTCATGAAACTTTATTTTATCAGTGATCCATGCATCAGTCAGCACTCAATTGTCTAACATGGAAATTTGGCAACAGAAATTTAAATGAATAATAGAGTATAAGTAATATTTATTTGTCACATGGTCTGAGTTGTAACTGATGATCATAAATTGTAATAAAAGAAAGAGTAACATACCCCTATCAATTCTCTTTATTTCTTTTAAGTATTTCACAAACGTGTATGTTTTTGTGCTGCCGGACAATGCTAAAGCATATGTAGTTATTGCCAAAAGATATGGGTTGTTCTTCAAATTGCTTTCCGGTAAACTCTCAATGTAATGCACTGACCTGTCAAAGCTTGCGCTAACTGTCTAGAAAACGGACACACAAAAAGGCATAAAATATCATTTCCAATCTTGACTGTTTTTTCCATTGATCAATTTGTATTCTAAGAGATAAAACATTGAGGTATAATGCTTTAACAAAGTTCAGTATTGAGATAGTAATAACAACTGCGTATACTATTCATTCGTAAGTTAAATTTGAAGGTAAGTAAGTTGTATAGTTAAGTGACGTAAACTGTAAGTTTTCAGTAAGTTTATAAATAGAAAATAAGTTACATGCATAAAAACACACATGCCAATTAGCAATATACAGAGTAAAATGATCTAAGGATAAGCAAGTGAGTGCTTCGTTTATCAAACGCAGAACGAAAATAGCCTCTAGTAATTGGAAGCAAATATGGGAACCGCAAGTAAGTAATGTCATAATGTAAAACGTCTTTTTAGGTACGTTGAGCGTAGGGTAAGTCACGTGTGGGCATTCACGGTTGATGTGGTTGAATGTTTAATTGATGTTACGGTAGTGTTGCAAGGTATAGTAAGACAACTAAAATACTTCTTTGATAGTTATTATGATGAGTCTTACTTTAAATAGGCACTAAAGGCTGACAAAAACATGTGCTTTATTTGTCATCAAAATTTATTTACCATTATTAAAATACTCAAAGTGTAAAAATGATTAAACCAAGACTTACATCATATTTACTGCCACATTCCCGTAAAGCAATCAGTACGTAGGCTGTTAAGGATAGATCTCTTACGTTGATTTGTCCCTATTTTAAAGAAACATTTCTTTCATCTTTACATAAAACATTAACGAAATGGCTTTACAAATTTAGAAATCTGACAAATGAATCTGGTTTTAAATCAATTCATCAATGCTCTTAAATTAAATCAAAGGTCTTTGATTATCAGTTGTTTATTTTTCGGATTTCAGTTAAATAACAATGACAATTAAATGTGTTCTCTTTTATTCATATTGAATATGAGACGATGTACACTCTTTGAGATTTCTAAACATTTCTTTTATGATCATTAACACAAAAGGTAACATCTTCAAATTCGATCTTACCATCATTTCTCGGTCTAATACTGGCATATTGTCAGTAAACAATCCATCAGCATTCATGTTATATTTAAGCCAATTAAAGGTACGTTTGATATATTTCTCTTTGACAACAGCATCATCTATAGCCTTGTTAGCTTGACAAAATACCTTTGCAACAAATGTCGTGAGCCTATAAAAAAGTTAGTTATTGCCCTAAGTAAGACCTGACAAACGTTTGAAACGTTATGGATCAAATTAAGTACAAATGATATTGAATCATTTTCATTTTGATACATTTTCCTTAACATTTGTTTTCTTAAACGATCGTCTGTAACATAACAATGTGTATGTTTAGCTCTTAAGTCATAGCACAGTTGACGTATATGATAACAGTAGAGGTTATTTAAGAATATGGAACAACACATAACGTCTGATGCCTTGGACAGTACTAAGGCACAATGTAATTAATGTACACATTATTAATTACACATACACTGAGCAAAACATAAATACAATAATAAAAATGCACCAAACTAATCATAGGATAAGTATAACCATTCAAAATCTGACAGTTGGGCGCAATAATGGAAGCAAACGTGAAAATCTCTAATACACCCACTATAACTAAGCGCAATTTTATCCATCTTTCGTTCTTACACATAAACAGTGACACACAATTACAAAAATTAATAACAGGGATAGTATTGATTCATTGTACAAAGACATGAGCATGGCATAAAAGAAATATCGCCTCTCTTTCCACAAACAGTACCAAATGATTAGTTTCTGAGGAGATTTAACAGTCGACACACTTACCAAGTGCTAGGCGGTCGGCTACGCATGATTGCGTATGATCCGTCGATTTGTCTGAATTCGGAAATCTGTTTCCTTACACCTGTAAAACACATGCGATATTACAGATGTGTGCCTTGTTTTTATCCAATTCAAATAAGTAAATTATAAAATATATCACGGCTGTGAAGAAACGATAAATAATAATACAATCAAAAAAAATATATGACATTATTCTTTTAAAACATGAGGCTAAGAACGTTTAGGGCATGTTTTGCTGTCATCAAGTTCTATCTAAAATAGTTTTTTTTCTAAACATAAACAGAAAATATAGACCTTCTCTAATCCATTGAAATCCCTTTGCTTCTATTTCATCTGTCTCTTGTTGTGTTTTCTTCAAATAAGTTAGGGCGTATACATTTGTAGCAAGCCGTTTCATTGTCTGCTCACCGAATCCGATAGACTCTCGAAACAAAGAATCAACGCCTTTGATAGTCGTTTTGGGCTTCCCGATACCTGAAAATTGTTTTAAGCAGACAGCACATTATTAACCTTAAAAGTTTACAAATATTAGTTCTACTATTAAAGAAAGGTAACACTTGCTTATGATCATAATTACGTGAATCACGTGTTTTTTTTTATCTCGAGTGGCAATGACTTTCCTTCTTCCCGTATAGGGCATGACCTGCTATACGCTTCTTAATATAGGTCCGAAACATGCATATTTAGCGAGATCATTATATTTAATACTGGTATGTAGGTAACATGTTCATGGATGTATCATTTTAGCATCTTAATATGCTGTAACGTTACAAACACGCTTTTATTCCTGACATCAAATAAACAGACATAGAAAGAAACTGTTACAACACAATTCTATTTCAAAAGAAAAAATGTTTGTTGTTGTTGTATTTTTACATCACATTGGCAAAATAAATTGGTAAAAGAAAAAGGAAACAAAGCTTTGTTTCTTTGTTTGTTTGATGGGTATAACGACGCATTAAAACAAACCTTGTCATACCGCGTTAAAACCGTTATTAATAAAATATCATTATTAAGCCTTAAAATAGTACAAGGTAATGAGATAGCTAGAGTACAAGTTTATTTCTTTGAAGTAATCGACAAATGTTTATGATGGGACCTATCATGGCATTCAAAAAGGGAATATGTAACATATTTATTGCAAGCTATACAAAATGGAGCATCATCATCATGACCTAGTAATTCTAACCACTTTAACCTTAAAGGTCACCCATCAGCCACTAAGAATGAAAGATGAAGGAAATTGTTTAACAATATGTTCAAGACGTTATAAAAGTTACGGTTAATTTTAGAGGAAGATAATAGCAATTTGTAATAAAAAAGCTTAACATCTATGGCTTGTAATGCTGTATCTAATAATCTTTGTTGAGGAAGGCAGTTTGCAGCTGCAGTTGAAGAAATGCCGGATGTTTTTTCAGTCACTTATACATATATAAATAAAAAGAATATATTAATTCAGTGTTAAATGAAATAAGGAAACAGCCTAGTCTCTTAAAATTCTATACATACTCTGATAAAGAAGGTAATCATTATGATTTGAATAATATCATAACTTCTGTGTGACATTTTAATTCGTTTTTGTTACTTTGGAATTTTATTTGGACTTCGAACATGCGGTCTAAAAGGAGGGAACGGTTTACGTCCTTATCCTCCACCGATTTGGAATTTTCTAATAAGTCGCAGTATTAACCAGGTTCGGCAGTGTCTTCTTCAAACGGTCGTTGTTGATATTCCGCACTTTTGGCGGCTTTCTCTTTGAGGAACTTTCTAAGGTGATGAAAATTTGATCTTAAATTAGTTTTGAACAAACAATTAACCTTATTATCCTTTCAAGTATATCAAACACAATTTCATTTTCATAGTTTTGATTTGAAGCTACCATTTCAAGAGTACACAAAACAAACTGGTAATTTATGGTTTTGATTCTAACCAAAGTCGTTACCATATATCTCTTTTTAGGCTCATCAAGTTCAATTACTGATCAGAAGAAAACATCGAAGTAATCGTCTGGTGCGCGTCTGAATGTCTTTCAATTATAAGCATGACTGATTGCTAAGGAATATGTTATAATAACACATCTACAATATTTCAACCTTAATAAGATTCTGTACTTATTCTTTATTTGACATTATGACATACCTTTACTATGGAAAAACGAATTAACCTATACGTGCTTACCTTGGATATACGCAGTAGCTGCCCCTGTTTGTGAAATTGTATTTCTAGGAAGCGTCAAATCTATTACGTATTGTCGTTTGTAGCTGCTTACCTGGGCTGAAGGTATTACAAATAAAATGAAAGGAATAGTGTAGATATACTCGTATGTACATTTTATATCCCCGTATAAATCGTTTCATATACGATCGTTAGAATTTCCTTCAATATTTCGATTTCATCCAAAGTGAAATGGCAAGTTTTCATCATATAGCAAGTAATTGCATTTGAGTAATGTTTATCCATGCACTTTTAAGTGTTATTATTTATTCATCAAGGCATTACAGTGTTAAATTTTACAAATAAAAACATTGCACTTTTAAAACTTTTATGTTTGTTGTCTAGATGCATAAAGATAAAATATAACAAAATATGCTTGTAAAACATTTATGCTCCCTACCGGCAGGTAATTTGTCATGTGTTCAGGTCATTCTTACAGACTTTTGACTCAGTGACCAAAAAACCATAAGGGGTATCTACTGGTCATGACTAGTCACTAGATTTTTGTGACCGTAAAGGTTGTATGCAGCAATTTCATAAAAATGTTATTACAAATCTTACCAAATAAAATATGCATAAAGTTTATGAATCATGTAACGACAGCTTATTTGATATATTTCATAAGACCTTGAAATTTGTAAACCAAAAGCATTTTTAGTTCATAAAAAGTATCAACCAAGGCAACTTGAGTTGTTTAGTTATTGGTCGAGAACCATCTTGACATACATGGTCAATGGGACTTTGACATTTGACCCTTAAATCAATAGGGGTTAGTTATCTACTATCAAGACCAATACACCTGTGAAGTTTAAAGGTTAAGGGCCCATGAGTTGTTGAGATATTGACCACAAAGCGTTTTACCTATAACCCCTTGACCCTTAAAATTTATTGATATTATCTTTTGACCAAAAGCAATGCATCTGTGAAGTTTGAAGGTCAAGGATCAATGTGATGTCTAGTTATTGATAAGAAACCATTTTGACATCCAAGGTCAATGTGTCATTGACCCTTTACCCATAACAAAAATAGGTCATCTAGTAACCATGGCCAACGAATCTGAAAAAAATTAGGGCTTAAGGTCCATGGCTTGTCAAGTTATTGATTGGAAACCAACAAAGTCAATATGACTTGACCTTAGACCCATTGACCCTAAAATCAATATAGGTTATTTCTTGCAAAGATCAAAGGACCTTCAAAGATTGAAGGACAACATCCCTTGGCTTGTCAATTTATTGATCGGAAACTGTTTTTACCTAAAAGGTCAATGTGACTTAAGAGGTTGGCATCTCTGGTTTATGAACAAATATCATACCAAGCTTGAAGTTCCTAGGCCTGTTCGTTCTTTAGTTTTTAATCAGAAACCGTTTGTACCGTTTGTACCTTAAAGATCAATATGACATTGACCTTTGACCCCGCGACCCCATAATCATAAGATGTCATCTACTGGTCATGAAAAATCATCATACAAAGTTTGAAGTTCCTAGGCCTAAGCTGTCTTTAAGTTTTGATCGGAAACCGTTTCTACATACAAGGTCAGTGTGACCTTTGATCCATTGACCCCAAAATCAATATGTTCATCTACTTGTCAAGTTCAATCACCATACCAAATTTGAAGGTACAAGGGCATAAGCGTTCTTTAGTTATTGATCGGAGACAGGTTTTACCTTCAAGGTCAATGTGGCATAGACCTTTGCCCCTTCACCCCAAATCAACAGGGGTCATCTACTGATCATGTTCAATCATCATACCAAATTTGAAGAACCTAGCCTAATCATTCTTCAGTTTAGAATAGAAACCATTTGGTCTACGGACCAACGGGCCGGTCGCCTGACAAATGCAAAGCAAAATACGCCACTTCAAAAGCAAGGCGTTTCCTAATTCTTTGTTTAATTTCATTTCTGTTGGTGATAAGAAACTATTTAAGCCACTCTTATGGTGCGAAGGAATTATGTGACAATTTCTAATCATCACACAGCTTCACTGAAATCAAATCTTTTAACTATTGTTATCATATACTCTTGGTAAATATCCACAGACGGTTTCGAGGCTTCGAGGCGTGGACGGTAACTTGCACTTTCCAGTACCGTCCATGAACAGGCTCAATCAAACCGAGCCTGCAACATTTTCAATTTTGCCGTGTTGGGCTTTCTTTAGGGATTCTGTATTTATCTATTTTCTATTTTACATATCAACCAGACGATTGTGATATAATTTCAATGAAACAAAAGTGATACTCTTTCTTGATTCTTTTCGATGTTTTTTTTTTTCAAAGACAACAATTGTGTTGCCATTTAGCATGTCCTATTAAGCTCGGTTCTTCTTTGGTGCGGATGACTTCTTGCATTACACTACACAACTCTTGCTAAGCACCATAAGTTATTTTTCATAATAGCACAAGTATAAAACAGATTTATTTCCAATTTTTGATAATTCCGATTTAGCAATGATTTGTGATAGTCCCCTAACATGAATCTGTGTTGACTAAATCGTTACAACTCGTCTAGATAGCATGGACAGCACGCACCCAAATATAGTTAAATGTTTTGATGGGATGTACGCTCACATCGTCTTATTGACATTCAGTGGCTTACATTTCTTACATCGGTCTCTTTGATATGGCGAATGCTTACATTAGGCGGCATTTGAGAGAGGAAGAGTTACATAGGGCTGTTAAGATGGTGCAGCAGAGGGCCTACTTCCGCAGATTGATGCGGCCCTTGTTGTACACCACGTCGTCATCACCAGAGGCTGTGAGTGATAGCGGCTACATGGTTCACCTGCCAGGAGGCATGCTGGAGATCACCAGATAGTCACAACACCAGCTCATGATCGTTTTTCGTAGTTCAGGTACACCGTGCAAGGTTTTCGACAGCAATTTCTCATCAAAATGACATTGCTAATGCTGCCGGGTTTCGTGTTTCCAAGCAGACGGTATGTAGAAGGCTGAATGAAGGTAATTTGTGGTCGAGAAAACCTTGCATGAGTATTCCTTTGACGCGACGACATCGCTGGGCCCGTTTGGAATGGACAATGAACGTAAACGGTGGACCAAGCAACACTTGAGATACTTTCTGTTCCTTGATAAGTCCAGGTTCTGCCTAGACTTCATATATAGGCATGCTAGAGTATAGAGAAGACGAGGTTAACTGTTTATGGCTGAAAATATTGCTGAGCATGGCCGTTACGGAGGTGTGTCAGTTATGGTATGGGGAGGCATCAACTGGGATGGACGAATGACCTGGGTGTTTTAAAGAGAGGCACATTGACAGGTCAGTGATGCATAGACGACATCAAAGACAACCAGGTTATGTTGTATGCTGGAGAATTCGGCGGTCAGTTAATTCTAATGGATGATAATACTTGCTCTAATAGGGCTAGTGTGGTCCAGGACTACCAAGATAGGGAGTCTATTGAGCGCATGGCCTGGCCAGCTCGCTCACCTGACTTCAATCCAATAGAACACACGTGGAATGAGCTTCAGGTTAGAATTTCAGCACGTCAGTTGCATCTCATAACCATCCATATGCTTGAAGCAATGTCGGTCTAAGAATGGGCAGCAATACCCATTAGAAAGATCAGAAACTTAACAGGGAGTAGTCGTTTTATCTTTGGGATTCAAAGTTCAACCTGATGATTGACGTAAACGGTGGATCAAGCAACACTGGAGAATCCTAATAGGGGTCGTCGTTTTATCTTTGGGCTAAAGAGATCAACCCAGGGGAAAAAATGGCAGGTTGCAGCAAGAAAATTTGTATAGATTTTGTTTCGAAAGAGAAACCCCTAAGAATGCCTGGCAAAAGTTCTAGGACAGCTGACTCTATTATTACAGTCCGTAATAGCGGAGAGAATATAACACTTTGAGTTTGAAACCCAGGAGTAGACTTGTTATCTTGGGTTCCGCACTCTCAGTGAGAGGGCTTCATCTTTAAAGTCGTAGGGAGGGTAGTGAGATATGGTAGTGTTACCGTAATCTGGAAAGGACTGTTTCCGGATAGTATGAGATTTAGTCCGGGCAGGACGAGGATGATTTCTAGCCGCCATCTTGTAAGAAGGTAATTTAGAACGGCAAGATAAATCCGAAGAATCTGACAGATATAAATCGTCATCCGTACAGGGAAAGTGTTTAAAGGTAAGCAGAACACTTTAATGAGAAGGCGCCGACAAGCTGTCATTTACAGTCACGGGTCGCAATCACGGTATTAAGTTTTAAATTGTACACGAAAAAACGAATTAAACAGATTTGGAAAACACGTTGCATGTTCTGAAATCTTGAAAGATTGGGTCATCCTCTTTTCTAGCAGAAAATAAGTGTAAAACTCATTTATAGAATTAAATTCGTCTTTCATCTAAATTGAAAACAACACTCAATAAATCAACATTTTAAACCTTTCCCACGGTAATAATAAAATTATCCCCCCAAAATGTTCCAAACAAACATATGGTGCATAGCAAAAGAGTAGTATACATTTATAAAAAAATAATGTGAAATAATTGAAAAAGCACGGTGAATAATCGTGTCGAGCTGATATGGAACATTTCCACGTTCCTGAACTGATTTGAATTTATGGCACCAGATTGATTAAAATAAAACGGATTTTCAGCTTGATGAGGTAAGAAAATATAAAATATAAACTCAATTTACATTTATTTGTCTTTGAATATTCTTCTTGCACGGATATTTTGTCCAGTAATGAATTTGTAGTACATTATTTTATGACAACCTTGTAAAATTTAAGGGCAAGAGAGGCTGATGACGTCGTCATCTTATAATATTCATATATCCAGGTAAAAGGATTTCCCTGTTTATAATACATAGAATCTTCCATTAATCCGTTATTAGATTGAAATGTTAGATATGGAACATATTTCCAATATTTATACTGCAATCCCTTTCAGAAATAATCAACCAAAACGTATGTATACAGTATACATGTCAACACAATAACGATTCTAGAATGTTGTGTGTTTTGAGCATGTATTCGGCACACCCTTAACCCATTTAAACAAATATTGGCAAGTGTCATAATCAGATAATTAAATGTCACGACATTAATGGCAACTATTAATGACATATAGAAGAGCCGAATATTTTTTTTTCTTTTTTCAAATTCGTTTAAAGGTCAACATAACTCAAAGTTGAAAACTTTATTGTTCATTTTCTCGACAATGCTTCATACATTGATAGTAAATTGTGATATATTAAAGGAAGCCTTAATACTTTATAAAGAAGCACATTACTGCCACCCTTAAACGGTCGTTACTTATGTACCGTCATGTACTATATAGATGTAGCTTAATTCCTCTGTATAAAACAACACTTTGAAAAGAGTATAAATCTTATACTATAATATAGTTGCATAAAATTATGTATGTAGCCTTGCATTTGACGATTGCATTGCAACCATAAACTAGATTTTTGAATTTAATACCTTTAATATGTTTATACAACCTTAAAGATTCTAGTGAAGTGTCTTTGTCAACATAAGAACTATATGTGATTGATTTAGAGTTGCAGTGAGCTTTAAACCTACAAATATCCCGTTGACTTGTTTTCTCTTTATATGAACCAATCCGGTGCCCTTAAATATTTCACGGTTGTCATAAAATACGTCATACAAATGCATTTTTGGACAAAACGTTTTACTAAAACCACTTTATTATCACGGAGTGATTTTTGCTATAAAATTATCATGAAATACCTGAAAAAAAGACTTTTTAGCAATTTTATGCTCACCCTTACTAATACTTAAATGACTTGTGAAATTTATTTTTCGATTCCAACTGATAAAAGACTTTTAACAAACCTTATAAAGTTTGAAATCCTTAGATATTGCAATGTTCCGTGCAAGTAGAATATGCAAAGTCTAACAGATGTAAATAAGTTTATTTTATATAATTTCTTACCTTGAAAAATCCATTTTATCTAAGTCAATCAGTTCAGGAACTAGGATATATTCTAAATCAGCCCGAAACGAAATCAAACCGTGAATAGGCTAGGCTCGCATGAGATTCTAACAAAGGCAATGACCCTCGAATGCAAAGAAAAGATAGTTTTAAGTAATTATCAATAATTATTTACTTGATGGAATTTTTAAGATGCGCTAAAATGTGCATATAATCTCTTTTGTTTATCCATTACAACCGCTTAAGTAATACTGCTCTATATACTCACACACATGAATTACACGCACATCATTCTTACAATCTTCTGTCTGATTGATTGGAACTAAACACACAACAATTGTCACATTTTCTTCTTCTATACCCACATTCTGTTAATAGATAACAGACTTTATCAGATCAGTTACGCTGTTAGCACTCAGACCTCAAGTCAGCTTACATGTGCTTTCTATTTGTACCTTTTCAATAGAAATGTATGGTTATATAATGTTCCAATCTTATTTTTTATTATCTATATATAGATCTGCCTCAAGAGTTATGATATGTCAAGTAAATCATGGCTCATGGAATCGAAAGAAAATGTAGAATCATTTGTTCGGCAAATGAAAAGTCTGTCATATATCATGTTAATCTTATATAATATATATTATATCAACAATAAACTGAAAGCAATTAGATGATGTTTGTTACCAACACACCAAAGTCCAACAAAGCCATGATGTATAGAACTAAATAAAATAAACAGTTAAAAAGTAAATATTTATCCACTAAAACCAAGCTAAAATATCTCATGAAAGCCATAATAAATATTAATGATGAAGACTTGTTGTAAAAATATTAATTTCATTTGGCATATTCCATATGAATTTAACTTTATTTTCATGTTCACAATTGTCATTAAAAAATCGTTTCAGTAGTATTCACATTGGTAATCAAATTCATCAAACATCGCAATATCAGTAAAATGTTAGTAAAATATGTATTCAAAATAATATTTTAAACCACGTACTACAACGTATAGTTTCTTTTCAATGACATCCACTTCTGGGGTACCGTTCAAAACAATGGCGGACACCTTCACCTGATGAAATTCGCTTTTCAAAGGTATCACTGGAAAGGTTACAATTTTCTCGCTATTTGGCGGGAGCTCAATTTTGACTTTCTCTAGGTCGCTGTTTGAACATAGATTGTCCACTTCTTGCAAGTAAATACTGACCTAAATGGAGACTCGATTTACATTAAACACTCCTGACATCAAAGTGATCTTAATGTGACCAATGTGACCCTCACCCGCGCTTAGAAATAGAATGAGATGTATTTAATCAAACATTTTGTTTGCTTCAATATCAACATTACTCTTAATGATAATGTTCAGTATATCTAAATGAAGAAAACGTATGTTGCATCATTAATGATGCTTTGCTAAAACGTGGAACAATTCACTAAAATATTATAAGCAGATGAGACAATGATTGGAGGTTACATTATTTCTAAACTATTTCAACAATCTCTGACTTTTCGTTGGTCTGTGTATACACTTTATTGTTACTTTACCAATCAAATAATGAGTTCTAAGTATAATATATTTATAACCTTAGACATTGAACATAAGTAGAAATATGAAACATCACTAATATCCACGTGAAATGCCTCCTCTCCTTCTTTGATCCTGATAAGATTTCATTATTCCATAACAAATAAACGTTGCCAAATGATAACCTGCTAAATTTCGGTTGAACGATTTAAATCAGTTAATCAGACAGCTCACTGTGACATATTCTCAAAACGATTTACAATAAACTCAAACTCGTACACATTTTAAACTGCTAATTGCTGCATTGTGTTAAATATAATGTCATACTTACCATTTTATTATCATCACCTGGCATACCGTAATTAAATATCGTTGCTTTTACATTGAATTGTTCAAAACGAGTCGCTTTGAGCGGAAGATCAAGTTTAACGAAAAAATCTCTGAAAGCCTTTAAATCGACTTCGTCAGCAATACATATACCATCGTTTTCAGTAATACCTGTAATATTATACATTGTCTTGAAAGGGATGATCCATCGACAGTTATGACAATAAAGAAAATAGTTGACAAATACAGACTTTTTTCGAGAGAAATATTTAAATTGGCGACATCTCGCCTTAACACCGGCCAAATAGGCATTCAATTCTCAACACTAAATGCATTGGAATTCATGATCTTGGCGGAACTAGAAAAATATACCAACACTGGGATAAATTTCGTACGGCTGCAGAGTATAAAGGGAGGAAAAAGAGGAGATTCATTGAGAATAATGAATAAAAGTACATTATAAAAAGTGGACAATTCCTAGCCCTGCGAAACTGAAACTAGTTACTTACAAAATTACCAACTCATACAGTAATAAACAATCTATTTCAGGGGAGCGGTGGCCTAGTGGTTAAGGTATCTGTCTCTCAATCCAGAGATCATGAGTTCGAGCCCAACTCCGGTTACGACCATGTTTCTTCATATGACACCAGTACTGGTTGCTTCCAGGAAACGGACTCGAAAGTAATTAATATAAGTTGCAAGAACTTGATTCGCAATCGAGCTTAAATTAATATGTTTAAATCAAACAATTTATTATCGGGCAAGAACGATTATATGTTTGATTTGTCATTAAATTAGTGAACAAAATGTTTACAAAAAAAAAAAATGCTTACGACAAAATATTTGACAATACCTTGAAAACTGATTTTCATGAAATATAATGCAATTTATAACGTAAATTGGTCTGGCACACAGTAGGCATTAAAGATGATATTTAACAGTTATTCCTTAGGCCAGATAATAGATAACATAACATATCTGGCATTGCTATGATTCTGGCCGGGCATCATGTGGCTACATGTTGACATACCATCAATATTTTGACTTTATACCAGTATCTTAACCAGAACCATATTTTTGATATTTGGGACAATCGAATTACTTTACTTTGTTTCGCGCTCGCTTTTCTTTAAATTGTAGAATCCTATACATTATTTAATTTTATATCAACATGATACATGCAAAACCGTAATTTTATTCGGCTTTCTAATGCCCTTGTGGTGCAAGTCTTTACAATATGCCAAACCAATAATTTTAAAAAGTCAATACAAACTTACCAATAGACTGTATACTCCATTCTGTCATAGAGGGGACAGTGAGCTCGATTTGCATCTGACCATTTCTTGAAATACACACATTAAAATTGACAAATTGTCTCAAAGAAGATAAGTTCTTCACAAAAATTGATTTTTTCAAATAGTTTTGGTAAATACCAATTGAAGCAAAATCAAGACATCTTACGTCATTTTCTACAACAGAAGGTAGTTACCAATTCAGCAAAATGCCATTAGGAATAGTTTATTCTGGTGCAACACTTAATAGAATGTACTTTTCCGGGATAAATGATACCGATAACTATGTAGACGATGTTCTTGGACATACGTTACATGGGAGAGACATATGAAGATGTTGAGACAGTTGTACGAAACAATTCGAGAAGCGAAGATCATAATAAAACCTTCTTAAAATTTGATTGGATTTGAAAGTATACCATTAAATGGTCATATTGTTGGCAAAGGTCAAATACAAATGGAAGATGACAGGTTGAGTAAAAATAGAGACGGTATGTGTTCTGAGTCAAAGAACTTAGCTCTTAGCAACTGGGATCATTTCTTGGTTTCTTGGTTAAGCTGGATGCTACAGAAAATTCATTGCTTCAATTACTGCACCATTGACAGATCTAACGAAAAAAACGACAGCCAAATAAAATCATATGGAAATCTCGTTAGGCTAGCAATTTTTGCGAGATTTCGGAGAGATTTTAGATCAGTTAGGAAAAAGACACACTTATAGAGTGCAGCGTTTATTTTTTGTTGAGAAGAGAACTAGTTGTTTTAAAGGGAGTTTAACTGATTTCTTGAAGTTAGTTGAATAAAATTGTGGTGATCTGAATTGATCAGGGTTCATTGGTTGAAATAAGTTGTTTTGGTTGTTGCATTTTATTTGGTTGTTGAGTTATATCTGTTTGGTAAGATTTACTTGGTTGATATTTGTTGAATATTTGGAGTGATTTTGTCTTGTCAAGATTATATTTAGTTGTTACTTTGTTTTTGAAGATATTTGTAAATATTGGGGGTTTTAGTTTAAGCTGTTTCTGGTGCTGATTAAATTTTGTCAAGTATACAGAATTTCTTCTGAGACTGATTTTAATGCTTGTCGTGGTCAGATTGCTGAATCTATAGAGGATTTTTCGGTCTAATGGTGTCGCCGTGAAAATGCGGATAGTAATGCTCTAGTTACATGGAACGTAACATCTTTAAAATTATTGATTCACGTATTAATTTTTATCGTGGAAGTGAATATCTTTTGCCACCTAAACCAAGACTTACTTTAAAACATCTGAAAAAAGATATTTTAGCTTTTCATTCAAATTTGTTTTGGTGCCAGCGGACAAGGCGGCTAATAATATTATAATTGTTTGACGAATCCATTACATTAACGTTTTGCATAAGGAACTAAATAGCACTAATGCGTATTCTAAAACCTCTGCCTCCGAAAAAGACATTGTAAACAATCATATTACTAATATTTCCAATCTTAAAGTCCAAATTAATGAAAAAGAACTCAAACTTCTTATTATGTATTGGATTCCTTAATTACATAAAAATACCTTACAAAGCCAGATTTATTGCTAATTCTACATCTTGCACTACAAGTAAACTTTCTTTTTTATTGACGTCTTGTTTGACTGCCATTAAAACACATGTAATTAGATATTGTGATGAAGTCTATGAAAACACAGGCAAACATCTCTTTCGGTCAATTAAAAATTCTGGTGAAATCTTGGATAAATTCAAAATTAATAATTTTCAAGCTTCAACTGTTATTACATACGATTTTTCTACACTTTATACAACTTTGCCACATAAATTAATCAATGATAAACTAATTTCCCTAATTCAGAAAACTTTTGCACGGGAAAGAGTTACCTTTCTAGCATGTAATTCTAACAAAGCATTTTTTACTAACGGTATTGTTAAACATTATACTATGTGGACCTGTGACGAAGTTTGTAGAGCACTCTCTTTTCTTTTAGACAACATTTATGTCAGGTTTGGTAATACCCTATTTAAACAGATCAGAGGAATTCCTATGGGTATTATTGTGCACCCCTGGTCGGCGATTTGTTTTTGTACTGCTATGAAATAGACTTTATGTTGAGTCTCTCTGAAGAGAAATAACAAGATGTTATAGTCGCATTTAATAATACTTCCAGATACCTTGATGATATTTTTAATTTTTAGATAATCCTTATTTTGATCAAATGGTGTCTGACATTTATCCGCATGAACTACAACTTAATAAAACGAACTCTTGAAATTTTAGTACATCATTTTTGGATCTTCATATTACTATCAACAACAATTCTATTCACACAAAAATCTATGATAAAAGAGATGACTTTGACTTTTGTATAGTTAATTATCCACATTTAGATGGAGACGTACCCCATGCAACATCTTACGGGATTTATGTTTCTCAGTTAATTAGATTCGCTAGAGCTTGTAGCAACGTAAAGGATTTCAACGAGCGGAATAGTTTTATTACCAGCAAGCTTCTAAAACAGGGCTACCGCTATCATAAATTACGGAAATATTTTACTAAATTTTACAATCGTAACTTTGATTTAATTTCTAAATTCAATAGTGATTTAAAAACTCTTCTGCGACAAGGGATTAGCCAGCCTGGTTTTCATGGCGATGTGATTTACAAACTTCGTAAGATTTTGGGTCATGGTAATTGTTCTGCTGTTTTTACTAAAATCATTAAACGTTTTATTAAAAGAGGTTATGACCCTACTATTTTAAGACATACTGCATGTTTAGTGTTCAACCCTTTTACAGTTGGACACTACGCTTTCCTCTTTTGATTGCATCTGACGGACCAAGTGGGAGACTCTATGATGGATAGTTCGTAAAGCCCTTTGGGACTGAATTGTCTTAATGTTCGTCTTCTGCCTTGCTTCGTCGGGCCCTTGTAGGTGATTTTCTTGTTGCTCTGTCTTCCTTTAGGACATTGAGTACTTTTGTTATGGTCATTGGGTTTACTTTCATATGTTTCTACATGATCATTTATGTGTTTTACTTATTTTACCTTTTGTAACCATGACAACTGTTACAATATCACTTGGCGGGGATTCATTTTATTTACACTGTCTCGTTTATAGGAACATGGTGGGGCTAGGAGCGAGGTTTGGTGCACCATTAACCGGTTTAAACTCCCCAGCAGTCATTATTATGCTGCTGACCGTTCCAAGGCGGCGCCCCACTGTGTTCCTCAGATGTATGTCTATGTTGTTTCATACTGTTTTTGTGACACTTTTGCTTGTGTCCCTTGTTGTTTTCTCGTCTACGGTAAGTATCTTCCCCATTGCCTCTAGTTTTTATTTCTTAGATAAACCCCCCACCCCTTCCCCCGGTCTCCTGTCCCTTCCCCTTTGTGGGTCTATTATTATTTTCTTTGAATTCCTAATCAGTTACAAATTATTTATCATTTAATGATTAACCTGTCTTTGCCCTGTCCTTTTTATGTTTGGGGTCCGCCTGGGCTCCTTGCCATTGGTTCTTGTTGCTGGGTCATATGAGGGTTGCGTTCATTGAACGCCGCCTTTCCTTGTTGATCTTGTTTATCATATTTTAATATTGTTGGTTAAATGTTTGTGGTTAATACAGTATCTTAGTTGTTTTCTGGTTGTAAAAAAAGTATTCTTGTTTTGTTTTCTTCATTTTGTGGTGTTATTGTCTTTTTTGATCATAAGTTGTTTAGAGCTTGGGTTCGCCAGGTGCCTAGTATTGTTTCGTATAAAAGACGTTTACGCAAAAAGATATTTCGTATAAGTTCTTTGTTTTAAGGTGTAAATAATAATCAAAATTTGTTGTTTAAATATATATGGATTTGGGATAGAAAAATATATAAATAAACACCTATAAATAGTGTTAACTTAACAATTACATGCTAGTTTTTCCAACAGAGAATATTTCAATCTTAAGTCCGGCGATGTTACCCACCCTCCATATCTTGGAAATTAAAGTAAATCTGCCCAGCAGTTTCAGAGAATAAGACAATTGTTGACGCATGAGGGACCATCCCTCTTTGATACTAATAGCTCAACCTGAACATTCGGTTGTGATGAGCTAATAAAAGCATTTTAAATGAATTTGGAATGTTTCTTATTGTAGCTTGATTTTCACTGTTAAAGAGCTCTATAAACTTTATAATATCTGGTCTTCTTTAAAAATAGGCTTTGATATAGGCAAGTAAATATTATGCTGCAAATTCAGGTTATTGGTTTCATTGATTAAATTTAAGTGGTAAGTGACTCACTTATCTAGACTGAGGACATCAAACATCCAAAATTCTCGGTAATCTGGTTGTGTGTAACTTCGGATACCAGCATCATTCAAACTTGCAATATCCTCCCAATACTCACTTTTTTCATCTAATTGCCCTGTAACGAAGAACTTTATTCTATTAACATTTCATTTGCAAATAATCACAATCTTATTATGTGTAACGAATTCCATACATTTTATGCACATGTTTACTTTAAACGTTTATAAAGGACCAAAGATATTTTTAAAAAAGTACAATCCTGCACAGCTGAGTTTAATTCATTAGAGTATTATAGATCTATTGGAGGAAAACCTTTCTGACAAGATTTCATTTTCGTTGAGGAAATAAAATTTACATTTACAAAATTTACATTTACAAAGAAGATTAAGCAATGCACTTTCCATAGGTAACAAAATTTTGCGGTTTTAATTTTTTATTCTTCTGTTGAGTGTGCATTCCACCTTTTTACATAATTAAAGTAATCGTCATACATGTGTTATATATATTAAAAACATTCCCTTCAAATTAACGTGTTTCATTCAAAGAATTTATTCCTGTTGTTGTGACTTATTGTAACAGCATTTGATGTCATTCATTTATCGTAAGACAGTTTTAAAACAAGCATTATTTATTATTCTGAAATAACATTGTATTGTTTCTGTAATTATGTGCCAATTCAAAATCTGAAACAGAACTGTACGCAATATGGTATTGAACGATTTGCCACCAACACAATCCTAACGGGATATCATTTGGATCATCAGTAACACAGACACTAGCATCCTTACACTTTATTTATTTGTTTGCACTACTACAATGCTTGGAAAGTTATGTGAAACATATTGTACATAATGTTAAATTGCTTTGTAAGTTAAGCAACTTGTCAGTATTTTATCAAGCAAAGACTTACCGTAGGCATCACGACGTTTCCTTGTATTTCCCTTACATCCGGCTGTGGTCCGTATTATATGATTTTCATCCAAATAAGAATTAGTCAACACGGTCAGTCCAGTTTTCTGACATAAAATTTGATTTGATTGAAATTGTCCATCATATAGTACATAAAGATAAAGAAAGCACATGGTAACATTTTTATGACATCAAGGTAATTGCATAAATTGGCGTCAAGATATTGACATGAATAGGCACATTTGGTAAATTGACTAGTTTTGTACAAAAACTATATAATTTCACTTTAAAATGTAAAAGACGAGAAAATAACAAACTTGTTCTTATAGTATGAAAGTGATTTGTTTAATATTTTCATTCACTCTATTTGCTGTTGATAATAATTTATAGAAAATTCACTTCTAAGTGAGAATGTGTGTTCATCACAAACTTTTATCATTACATTAGCTGTATCACATGCTCTACGTTTTCTATAATTACCATTGGAGATAGTACATATAAGATGGTTTACACTAGAATGTATAGAGGAAAACATAAATTCTGACCTTGAACACATCAGCTCCTGATCTCCCTCCACCTTCTCCGCAACCCAGATCATGTGACTGGAGTGTCTCAAACATCTAACAATATAAGATATCATAAGTTATCGAACATTTTCAAGAATAAATATATTTCATTACATGGAAGAAAAAACGTAATTGTTTGATTATAGGCACTTTCAAAACAAACATGCAAAATAAAACTAAGATATCTATGTATATTTCTTCTTGTTGCATTATTGCGCCATAATTCGATTGGCAAGAAGGTTCAAACACAATTAAAACTGACTGATCACTTAATTAACTTAATCTGATTCGAAAATTGAGTGCATAGAGAGTTGCGTTAAAATGATCTCAAATTAACTGAAATATCTGACAGAAAATAGTTTCTTTTTGACAGGTATTGTTATTGTTAACAGCTCAGGCTAATGGCGTCTCATGAAAATGTATACATATTAGCAGAAGAAGGCACTTCACTTCCTTAATTTTTTGACCAATTACTTTACATGATTAGTTTAAGATGGTTCTTCTCAGGTCCCAGCTCATGTCTCAAATAACGAAGGGCAATTAAAGTCCCCTTACACTAGAAACTATAGTAATCTTGACCGTTGCATTGACAGTGTTGATTAAATGTGATACCCAAGAACATTCATCGTCGAAAATTTGAAACTGCAGACATTTAATTTTCATTTAAAATACATTTTTAATCACTTGCCTTGTTCTTCCTTAAAAAATTCTTATCGTTCTGTAATAGGAGTGCCTTATCTATTATATTTAGACCAACGTGCATAAAAGGGGTTCCAGTAACAGTCAACATGTCTTTGGTTCCCGGCTGTTCCTCCCTCTTCACTGTCTCTAACTTCAGCTAAAAAAAAGAAATTTACGCTTATGTTTAAAAATAACATTCACAAGATTAACAGTCGATAATTTGTAAAAAAATAAAAAATCCAAGACAGCTACCAGAACGTACAATGTACATGGGACATGACAAAATGGAGTTCTTAATGGCATGAAATGATTTTATTGACATTGTACGTCAATAATAGTACTTTCTTGGAAAAATGCTTCAGTAGCTTCGGAAGAAAATTCAATATGGCTTCACAATCAAAGATGGCCGCCATGAAATGATGATTTTTGGACACATTTTTATGATAAATATAATTCATATGATCAAAACTTTTCATACATATTACACACTGAAAGCTGGCATTCCTGCATTAAAAATACACACACAGGAGAAAGACTTGCATTTATGGATAAAACCATGGGAGCACGTTATTTAGCTCGAAATTTTGAAGAATAGGGAGTGATATTGTACACAAAAGGCACCAGCTTTGGCTAAGGTTTTACATGCAGTTGGTTGGGTAAATAATACATAATGGAATAGATTAAGACCTCAAACACTTTTTTGTGAGCATTATTGAAAGTCAACGAGTAAAGGCCAATAACTCTATCACGGACTTTTACAGAATTATTGCCCTTTTAGATATAGAGAATTTTTCATTATCTAGGTTCTTGTTATGCTATTAAGCACTGAAAATAGTCAAGCACTCTATGATGTCCTACCGAAAGGTCTTGTTTATGTGCGTGAGTCTGACACCATGCATAACCGTTGATTGAAATGACGGTCATACAGTTACCATATTATCAAAACATAACACATATGCGCGTTAAAATCAATATGAAACCGGGTTCTTTAAATGGAAAGCAACATATCGTAGATATCGATCGTATTATAACTTTTATACAAGAGTGACTCTATTACACGTTTTTGTGCATCAACATCAGCAGAATTAAGATCCTGAGCCCGTAGGATAAGGGCTGTTAAAGCACAAAAGGTGTGTAATAATCGTCCATTGTATTGCATATTTAGGTGCACATAATTCCTTAGCTTATCCGAACCAAATGTTCAGGATGAACTATAGAGGAGGTAAGGGGTTCTTCAAAATCATGTCTCTCAATATTTTTTAAAATAAATTTTAAATTTTTTTGATCGTCTTACTGCAGCTGCAAGTTCTTTTTCATCAGTAATTTAAGCAGCATATTTTGTGTCATAGATAACGGAATCAGGCTCTAATTATGTCATCATTTTGGCAAGGTATTGTAAATAAATTAGAACAAAAGAACAGAAAAATATTGAACAAAAAGAATATCATGGACTGCTTTTGTAATCAAACGTTTTTGTTATATTAACATTAGTAAGTCTTGGCTGATTACGAGATTAAATTTAGACTATACAGCTCTTTATATTGGATAGTATATGTTTGATATGAGATTCCATCTGTAAGATTGAAATAATAATTTTCTGACTACTGCGAATTTCGGGACCATGTTCTAGGTGCAATCATCTCAACATTCTTGTTAATTTCTTACTTTGATATTCTATTGCTGTAGAGAAGCTGGCTAAATTATTTTTGATTTTTAAAGACATAAAAAAAAACTTTTTCAAATTATAAATCTAAATACTGTTGTTGTTTACTCATTTCCACAACTGTCATAAACGTACAGTACAAAAGAACTTGTGAATCATGCTACATTAATTAGCTTTATAAATGAGTTTTTTTGTTCATCTTTCTCTTGATTTTCATTTTGATAGTTTCTGTAAACACCTTTAAGAATCACAATAATAATAAAACTTAATTGACCTTAGCTGGACAATCATTCTGTACTAGATCAATGGGTGTTAAGTATGGATAATGACTTAATTTTACATTTTTAATTATCAGTTTATAACACTTAAAAACAGTACCTTACTTAATTTAGTATGAAAACGACCTAATGTAAATGTTGAGATATTGATATCTACCTGTATCAATATTTCTAACAGTTTCTGCAATTTACTCGCCTAGTATCAAAAACAATTTTCTAAGAAATGGTCTCTTTTTATTCAGAACATAATCTAGTTTTTTTTGTTATTCTTATAAAAAATTCAAATTTCATAGCCTTGAATTTTCTGGAATTATTAATGAGTGTTTTCTTTTTAGGAAAAATTGGAATGTCGTTGGTATGAATATGCAAAAGGTTCTCAACCATTCCTCTAAGTTCTGAACAATGACCCATTAGGGGGTCAGCTACATACCTAATCGATGAAATAGCTACATATTTATACCATTGTTAAAAGGTACTCTTTAGTTTGATTGCAAGTTATTTGCCCTTGAAATTACATAGTAAACTAGCAAATATATTCTTATTCAAGTGCAGGTTATACATTTATGATATGTTTAACCCCAACTTTTTGTTAAAAGAGTTCTTTTGTTTCTGTTATTGTTTTTTTTAAACCAAGCAAAAATGTGGTGGTTTTTTGTTTGCTTTTTCCTAATCAATTTAAGACAGTTTGGCTATAAGCATGTTCAAAAATGAAAAAATGAAACGGATGTTTTTAAATAGTTATATATTTATATAAGGTTTTGTGGCCATATTAAACTTTGGCAGCCGTGTTGATATTTTAAATAAATTATCATTATGCTGATATGTTTAAAGGCATGTAATAATATGTATTTGTGCTATTTCATACTAATCTGAAAAATGATTACAGCTGAAAAACTAAATGGTCTTAAAAGTTTAGTATGTTAGCCATCTTGGATTTCGAAGGCAATGTTGGATTTGCAAAACCTTAATCTGAGGCTTGAATATAAATAAAAATTTAATTCAATAATTATAAATCGATGCTATTTCAAACTGCTCTGTAATGACGACAGAAGGTTAATCTGAAAATGTTAATATATGGCGGCCATCTTGGATTTTGGCGGCCATATTGGATTCGCACAACCCGGATCCCAGGATTAAATTATAAGGATTGTATCAACCAACAACTGTGCCAAGTTTCATGTTTATCACAGGAGGTGCACAATTCATCCTATTTTATGCACGGATTTCTCGGACTATCATCAGAAGTGGAATGAAACGTTACTGGTGTTAGAATTAACATAACAGTAACATTTTAAAAGAAGCTTGAAATTGTCTTGATAAAGATAAAAGCGAGCAATTCCTGCATGTTTATATTTACCTTTTTATCATCTGTCACATAATTAATTATTAACAGTACTTGTCAGCATTTATAATCACAAAACTGTTTTCATACTCGTAATTACATAATTGCACACGTCAGTATATTTTTATGATCGCACATTTCAGCATAATAACATAAGCAGACAACTGTCAGCATAATTAGATAATCATACACATATCATCGTTATTAGATTATTATACACACGCCAACATTAGCAATCATACATATGTTAGTATAATTAGATAATCATACACATGTCAGCGTTATTAGATAATCATTTACATGTCAGCATTAATAATCATACACATGTCAGCATAATTAGATAGATAATTATATATACACATGCCAGCATAATCACATAATCATACACATGTCAGCATATTTAGATAATCATAAACCTGTCAGCATAATTAGATGATCATACACATGTCCGAATAATTAGACAGATACTCATATATCTGTCAGCATAATTTGATAATCATACGTCTGTCAGCATTATTAGATAATCGAAAACATACCAGCATGACTAGATAATCATACACCTCTCAGCATAATTAGCTAATCATACACCTGTCGACATATTTCGATAACCATACACTTGTCAGCATAATTTATAGTCATACACATGTCAGCATAATAAGATAATCAAACACATGTCAGCATAATTAGAACATCATACACCGTTAGGCATAATAAGATATTCATACACTTTTCATCATAATCAGATAATCATACACACGCAGCATGATTAGATAATCATACACATCAACATTATTAAGTAATCATTCACCTGTCAGCATAATCACATAATAATACACCTGTCAGCGTTGTTAAAATAATCATACGCATGTGAGTATAAAAAATGCAACATAAGAATAATTAAATGATCATACACATAATAATATAAATTTACATCTGAGAGCATATTTTTTTTATTATACACATGTTATAATTATTATGATCATTATTGATATTTTCGATACATTACCTTTTCACTATTTTATATACTTTTCATTAATTCTATACTTTATATACTGCACCTTGATTTCAATTTACTTACACCTTTACCGCGGCATTTCATTTCAACCTCAAACTTAATAGAATCAGCCACAAGCTCGTTTGTAGATTTATCAACATAGAAGACAAGTAGTCTGGCATCTGGTGAAACTAGTTCTTGTAGATCCCTCGTTATTTCTACACTAGCTTGTTTTCCTGCTTCTTTATATTTTGTATGCACTACTTTACCACGTGAAATAATCTGTAAAAGCAACATCAGTTCATAAGCATCATCATCATCATCATCACCATCATAAAAACATCATGATCATACATTTGGAACTATCATTTTACACATCACTATCACTGCATGTGTAACTATCATGTTACACACTACAAACACCACTTCTAAATCCACCACTACCACCATCATCATTATTGAACAAATAATCATCATCATCATCATAATCATCATCTTCATCTTTTATTTAAATACAATCATCATTATCATAATCATCAAAACCTAAAGCATTATCCCACCACCATCAATATCAAAATCATAACCACAAACTGCACCATCATTCTCACCATCATCATAAAAAAAAATCATCATTACCACTATAATTTATCATCATTATCGTAATTATTTTAGTAGCTAGACAATATTGGACTTTCAGAAAATAATGTTTCGATCTAGGTATCAAAATCTGCGTCATTATTTTTCATGATATGTAGATTACAGTGGAATTTTACATACCATAAAAAGCATTCCTGTGAAAGAATTCCCATGTATGTTTGTAAAAGCCCGCAACAACACCACGTTCCTCTCCTGGGCAAATAAAATCGTATTTTCAAAATCTTAACAAAAAGGTGTTTTACTGATGCACCCACTTATATAGCTGGTGAGTAGGTATTTTTCAATTGAATTTTAATAGCGATTTAGGCATAGTTGGCGTTCCATGTCCAAGAAATGTTATAGGAAATACATACAACGCATGCATTGTAAATTTAACACATTTTACGGCGCATTATCAGAATTCAGGTCAAAACAGGAAAGATGATTTTGGCTAACCTCGGTTGTTACAAGCAACACCAGGGGTCATAACCTGCTTGAGCTAAGAGATGCAAACACACAAGTAATTCGAACCCTTTGAGTCGCAACTTACGATCATGCGGCTGCAATTCTGATGCCTTCACCTATTAAAGGTAACCCCCTAGTCACAAGGGGAAAAACTATTTGACCACACGCACGAAGTCACAGCACAAGTATCTGAAGTATACTTCCCATTTATCTATTATTTGATCGGGAAAAAGTAACTTACATTTAAACATCGAATAACAAATTATTGTGAAAGAAATGGTTATCATTTTCAGTATCATTATTTTTACAATTACAGAAACATGATTATCTAGTCAAAGCAAAGTAAACGTCGCTGATGTCTTTAGATATTGTAAACAACACGATAAGTAACTTCAGGTCAAAGTTAGTCGGATTTAGTCTCATGCTGACATTTTAGTTTTGCTGGTGGAGGAAGACCCAGCGGTGCCAGTCTGTACATTTTATCAGGGAAATGCGGGCACCTAATTAGAAAAACCAATGTTATCTAAACTAGCTGGATAGCTTCCCCATTTGAAAGAGGATTCAAAATCTCTAGCGAAAATTCACAGTGGTCAGCGCTGGAGCTGTCAGAGATAATCGGTTTAAAGTCAACAACTTTAACACCTTGGACAGGACGCCCTAGGTTGTAATTTAACATTTAATAGTACTCACTGTCTTCACAGGTTCAACTTTGATTTGATTTTTTCCAGGGTATGCAGCCACCTCAAATACGTCACTTTCGTATTGATTGTCAGATGTTGATACCTGTTTTAATTACAAAATTTACTTTTTAGGAAACACTGCAAAGCAATTTCTGCTGGATAAATATAAAAATAAAGTTTTCTTACAAAATGCATGTCCTTCTTCATTCTTGTGGGGAGAGGCTGTTTTAAATAAAAAGAAACAGAGGTTCTGTATTGTGTTGATCATTTTGGAAATAAAAGAAAAGTATTAAGGAGCGAAATTATGTGAAATGTTGCCTCTTTCAGTCAGCTCTTGTTAAACTAAAAATTAAAATTGAAACTGCAAACGCACAGTATTATAACAATTTGTCGTGTACTTCAACTAGCGGTAAAAATCTCCAGAAGCCTTGAGCGTACTTCTCCGATCTAAAACATTGTTGACTTGATTAACCGTGATATCTTTTTTATTTGGTTTGACTTAATGAGGAGAACATGCATTTTTATAATTCTCTCTTACAGTGAATGAAATTTTATTTCTGCCCTGAGCCGTCTGAAAGAGACTCGTTGCCCGGCCGTCGTCGTTTGTTATCACGTTTTGCTCTTTTTTCAATTGTCCATTTTCGCTCATTCTGACTATAAGTTCTTTGTTAGTAGCAGGTTTTCCGTTCACATATTGTACTTCAACCTTAAAAAAAAAACAAAAATCAACTACCATATGAATTAAAACATTATCTATTGCATTAAAAGAAAATTGAGGACAGCCACATAAAAGCCACATAATGATATTTATCCTAAATTGACTGAATATCGTTAATGTTGAGTATTTGGAACAGTTCATTTGAAGTTAACAGGATTTTAGCTTTCAACAATTAAAAACCTGCTAAGACTACACGGATGTGGTTTGAGTCTTATTTGGTGGCACAGATTTCTATTTCCCAATACAATCAGGATAAAGTGTTTGGGATCGTCCTGGGCTCCTTGCCACTGGCTCTTGTTGCTGAGTCGTGTAGTTCATTGAACACCGCCTTTCCTTGTTGATCTTGCTTATCATACTTTAAGATATTTTTAGTTTTCCAAGTAATAGAAAGAGCATCGAAACACGAGGCTATCTGATTTGTACGAGGGGGCGTAACAATTGAATATGTACCAATAATGTAGCGAACACGCTTTTGGTTATGATTGACTGATTCGCTCCCCCGCCGTTGTCTCCATTTTCGCCGCTACTTTAACAAGGACGGTCGGCGTGTCCATCATTTAGATATGTGATGAATAGCCCAAATTAAAAACTCATTCACAATATAAATAATTTGTAACATAAATCAGTACAGGCACCTGCAAATGATATTCGTAACCTGGCCCGAAATTCAGTTTTGATTTGGTAAACTTGAACACGTATGGATTCATTGTGAAGATGGTTCCTGCGTGACTTCGCGCTTCCTCCTTTCCCGAAGAACTTTCATAAACCATTGCAATCACTTTTAGGCGTTTGTTGGAGGGAAAAGGGTTGCCTCCAAGCAACGGGGAGTTCAGTATGTCATCAACTTTAATATTAAACTCTGTCACACTTCCAAACCAGTCGATTTCAAGCTATAAAGGAAAATAGACAGAAAATTAATTCAATACTTAACTCGAGAAGCCATTTTTCCCATCGATTGGAAAACTTGAAATTTTTATGAACGGCAAGATAAGACTAAAAATAAACTTCATTCTATCATACAAAACTTTTTTTAAATGAGGACAATTAACGGTGGCACAAAGGTGACATGTGTGTGTTTCTATTTATCTCGTGCGCACGAGATACTATGTGAATTGTTTAAACTTAAAAAAAAATGTCTGTTGAAAGTTTAACATGCAACATTTATCTCTGAAAAAAACTGAAGATATTCATTTTTAACTTGATACATGTCTTAAAGATTACATTAGAAGGACACCGTAAAAGGCTCATAAATTAGACATTAATTTTGAATACGTTTAAGTCATTTGTGCGAACCATTCAAATCTGTAATATAATTGGTTCGTTTGTTGGTAAACTGGCCTGTTAACCTTGTTTATACAATAACTTGAGAAGGGAATAAGTCCTGGTTTATTTGATTTGGTAAGGACAATGTCCATGGACAGTAGGTAGCCTATAAGGATGTTTGAGGTCAAGAAGGTAGCCTTTAAGGATGTTTGAGATCAAGGGTCAAGGTAATCATGACACGTCATGTAAATTCCGTGTCTGATGAATAATTTAGAAGGAACAAGCCATGGTTTATATAACCTAGAAAGATCATTATATCTGATCAGTAGATGACACCTAATAATTTTAGGTCATTGGGAATCAGGGTCACGATGACGTTAAATGTAAAATCATTGAGCAATCAATGTCTTGTACAAATGGCTATTTCACAGGCAGGTGAAGTACTGCCATTCTTATATTATAGCCACGTGGTCACGATTTAGTTACTCTTGGCCACAACTAAGTAACTCGTTCCCACGACATAGTATCTCGTGTGCACGAGATAAATAAAACCACACACATGTCATCTTTGTGCCAACGTACAGTATCACACTTGAATTAACATTTTATTTTCTGCCGAAGAAATTCGGAGAACCACGTCCTACAGGACAAATTATGGTAATTGATTGTGTAGTTATAAACTTATATTATTAACATGAGATGTTTAAAACTCCTACGTAAAAGACATACATGCCTCAGAAATGCTGTCATTTTTATTTCTCAAACATTTTTTTTAGATCTTGTTATAGTCTCCAGAAGTATACTCTTTAGTATAGATGATCAATCTTTCACTTGTTTTGCTCTGTTAGCAATTGATATAAACATAGTAAATGAGTAGTTTGTATGGAGGTAAAAATACTACTTTCTTTATATTTTGCTACCTTTACGACATATTATTGCACATTCAGGAAACTTCCTTTAGTTGTTAAATATCTAACTTGCTCTTATCTATTTAAAATAACATTAATAAACGCATGTTTAACATTTCTAAAGAATTAAACAAATATGGATTCGTGAGGCATATTGTGCCATTAACACATTTTCAGCATTTATACGGTGATAGGTTCAGATGATCTTCTTTAAGTGTGTCTTATAAATGGATCGGTATGATATGCCTGTGTAATGAAATGTATAAAATGAATACCGAGAACGAATCAACATACCGTTTTTTTGTCGACATTTAGGATAAAGTCACTATCTTTATTCTCCCCTTTCAATTTCAATATAAGTCTTGCATTTCCCTGGACAGGCTTGCCGTAAACATATCTTAAAAGAAAAATATGTGCTCAGATAATCTACAGTTCACACGTGATGATGATGTTAACATTCTTAAATAATATATATGTAATGGTTTGGTAATATTGTCGGTCCATGAACTTTTGCCTAGAATGAATTAACAAAACGAGGTTGAATAATAAATAAACAATTTGTGCAGACTAAAAAAGTCATCCTCGAGATATTTTTCAGGAGTTTTAATTTTTCTTGTAAAAGCAAAGTTCGATGTCTCTATGACAATTCTCTGTTGTTTGGTACTAATATATAATATATATATAATAACAAACTAAAAAAAAACAACCAAAGTCAAACTCTTATTGTTTTACAAAAATGAAATAGTATATGGTATTCATACTTGGCTTTAACAGTGACGGTTATCGACCTCGTTGTTGGTAGGAGGAACTCAACGTCAACATCAACGGTCACTCCGAACGTCGGAAGAGCTGATATCAATACAAATTTGCAAGATATAGCTATCGATATTTTAGCCAATGAAAACGCAATGATATAAGTACGTAACCAATGAAAAGAAAAACAACTCTTAATACCTTAGTACAGTTAATGAAAATGCAATCATGAAAATTATTATACAGAAACTGTTTACGCAACCAAATAAATGGAGCCCAATTTTTAACACAGTGGCGGTAACTGATCAAACAAATCTATAAAAGAAATATTGAAATCAGTTGAAAATGTCAAAAAGTGAATGTTTTGTAAGATGCCGTTCCGCACAATTGTTTTTTTCTGAAAATATTTAACAAACGTGTTTTTCCCCCAAAATATTCTCATTAAAACCCGACTTAACGATTGTAGTTCAGAGTGCATGCAACTTTTCAGTCACTCACAATAATCAAAATAGTCTTTCTATTTTTTTTATATATATTCAAGACGTCAGTTACATTTCTACTTGTTCTTGTAATTAACCTCTTCTAATATAATTCACAATATGGAAAAAAAATCAGCCTGGGATTTCGCCCGTGGTTATTCACGGGACCCTGAAATTCTGTCAATCATAGCAGTAAAGTCTGATTAAAAAATCCATACCTTTATGAAATTCTATTCATAATACTAGTAAAGTCCGATTGAAAAAAATCCATACCTATATATAAAATGAAAATATTTATTTTCTTTTAAATCGGACTGCTATTATTGACAGAATTTCAAGATCATGTGATTTTTATAGAACGTCACATCTTACGGTTTATATGTCGTGTAATATTATCAAAGGCTTTTTCATAATCAGAATTGGCACAATGCTAGCGGTAGTAAATTCTTTTTCCATATATTCATAATACATATGATGTAAAAAAAGGGAGTAATGTAAAATTTAAATCATTAAGTAACAGATAATTTACCATATTCGCGAACTTCAAAAAGGACGTGTGACTCGGTCTCAAACTGAAACAAATACAACAACAAAAACCCAATATGTCTTTATCGAACGAGCAAATATGATATGCATTAATACAATCGCAAAATAACAACCACCTCTACCGAAATGACATGCACCGCTACAAAATTACACAATATAGCCTACCAAATTTTTGGCCGAAATGTCAAACATGAGAACCAAATAAGAATTGCAATGCCTAAATGACGATCACTAGGCCATAATGACAATCATGAAGCCATAATGACAATCAATAAGCCGGAATGATAACTGCTATGTCGAAATGAAAATCACCCGGCCAAAATGACAATCACAAGGCAAATATGGCAATTATTACGTCAATCACAAGGTCACCCTGACAAAGACTGTTCCGAAATGAGTATCACTGGGCTTGAATGACAATCATTTGCACGTGATGAAAGTATGTTTATGCAAAATGAAGTGTCAACGTTGAATTATGTGCCCAATGATTGAAAGACAATCACTTGCACGTGGTGAAAGTAGGTCTATGCAATATGAAGTGTCAACGTTGAATTATGTGCCCAATAAATTAAACATGTATACGTATGTTAAATTGATAATGATGTATCATGGCATTAAGTATACATTATATTTATTATCATTACCATTAATATTATTTACCTTTTATACGTATATTTATTTAAAGTGAAGAATTTGACTTACCTGTACGAATACCCGATATTTTCACTTGTAAGATATAATTCATATTAAACTATGTCATACAAATTGTCTTAACATTTATACAATTTTGCGAGTAAATCCTTTTCGACACGATCTAATTTTTGCGAAGTAATGAATGTACCTAAAGAATGTTTACCTGTCCATCATAAAATGCTCTTGCAGTCCAAATTCCCATCTCAGGGTAAGGCGGAAGGGTGAAGTCATTTTGAAAGAATCCCGTACCGCTATTCTTTATCAACTTTCTTCCCATGGTTAAGTTTGAAGGACTCTAAAACGGTTGTGGCTTATGTTCAGTAAAGTAAATTACGATAATTGGAGAATACTCTCACTCCAATTACCGAACTTAGTTACTACTAGAAAAGTGAAAAGTTTAAAATTTAAATGGATTTTAACAAAAACGTACTATACAATATCAAATTTAATATTGCATTTAAACACTAATTTGTAATAAGAAATTCTGTCAAACGATGCATGAAATATATATCTAACTTCAAATACGCTGAGACACAATATATATCTAACTTCAAATACGCTGAGACATATATTTTTAGCGCATGACCCTCGTGCAACCCCCCCCCCCCCCAAAAAAAAAACAAAAAAAAAAAAAAACAAAAAAAAGAACAACAACAACAACAAAACATGCAAGGCTCTCGTGGTTAAAACACGGTAGTGACATTTTGGTATCTCTGTAAAATATTCTGGGACAACAATAGAAACCAATAACCATAGAAAAAGTGTGAAAATGCAGTCTAGGTTAAAATGAATTTGTCCATGAAGGATAATGAATAGTGAAGCAAATGAAAATAAGTTAAAAAGTTGATACACAAAAATGAAATTTTACATATGATATCAATTATCATCGTTGCTGGTGTTAATGTTAAACCTCACATAAACTTTTTTTATACCCTACCGTGGCTTAAAATGGTATTAGTTCAATCTATCAATCTGAAAATTGTACTGGCATTTGATGGTATGTGTGTATTATTCTCTCATTGCTATAATAATTGAAAATGCACTTGTATTTAAATCTTATCCAACGAAGGGGATAATCAAACTATATAGTTCTCTGGTCCCAAACAGAAAAGAAGATTTGAGAGACATGATAACAGAGAAAAATATCTATACATGTGAATTTTAAGCCAGTTTCAATGTGTATTACAGTTTGTGACTGTATTTAAAGCTGTTCTGAAACCATCATTTTTGTAATGTTTGATTAGCAATGACTATGCTATCAAGACTGTTCATCTCGGCGCTGAGCCAAATTTGTGGTAAGTGTGTATTTATTCTCTCATTTCTGTAATAATTATCTTCCATTACTGTTCTGCTAGGCGCTGCGCCTGAATTGGACTGGCATTTTGATTAAGTGATATGTGTGTATGTATTCATTCATTTCTATAATAATTAACATGCGCACTTGTACCTTTATCTGTTCCCACCAAGGGAAAAGTACAATTATATTGAATTGAATGATCTCCTTTTATACAAACATTATCTGTCTAAATGCATTGAATCTTACTGATCTACATTGGCTTGCAGATCCATTTGACTTTTGGAAATAGATATATAGTTCTCTGGTCCCAAACAGTGAAGAAGACAATAAAAATATCATCGTTGATTTGTGAGACATGATAATCGAGAAAATCTCTATTCGTGCGAATGTTAAGTGTAGTGCAGTTTGGGACTGTATATAAAGCTGTTCTGAGACCATCATTTTGTGCACACTTGTATATTTATCTAACGGTCAACTACTTTAAATAAATCATGGCAAGATAAACCATTAATGCAATGTGTCTCGTAATATTACGTAACTGTGATCTATCCGCCCTTTCTGGTATTGAGAATACAACCCTTAGCAGCTTCCGTAAGAAAGAAAACAGAAGCGGAGCATTCGACCGATGCGCAGAAGGGTACATTGTCGTATATTCTCATTTGCAAGCATAAAATATTTATCTTACGCAAGCTCGACGGAAATGAAATTATGTCGTCACTTCCGGTTTCTTATCAAACTCACATAAACACAGATAACCATACTTTGCCATGTACAAAATGTTTAAATTAATCATGCTTTGGCTATTTGCATGTTAAGATGTACTACCTTATACAGAAAAAAGACGTAAACGAATCCCATCCTGTTCACAATCACTTCTACATAGAAATAAATTTAAGTGTCCCACATGTTTATACTTACAATAACATCCATGCCTACTTGCCAAACATCATTAGCTTTCAATGACTCGTCAAGTGCTAAAGTTCTTACTTTAACTGAAAACAAAAATGCATTTTCTTGAAAGTATCTGGTACGTTTTTGCATTTTAAAATACATTTTGATACGCATATGGAAATTATCACAATAGAAAAAGTGTTTGAAGATGATTTTTATGAACAACGTGTGTAAGACAGTCTTCTTTGTAACAAGATTGGTAATTTCCGCCATAAATGTAAATGGATACGTAGGAATACCCTTAACTACGTTCTTGACCTTATACTCATGTGTAAATATTTCCCTCTAATTTGCGCATAAATAAGAAGGTCACTTTCTATTGCTAAATTGTTACTGAGAAAATGCTTACAAATTTTAATTAAAGACATTTTGGGTTTATCACAAAAAGAAATAATGCGCAAATTTGTATTTAAAAATGGCCAAATATTTCGTATCTAGCATTACAATGTTGTTGTAAACATTATTATGTTGTAATAATTGCAAACAATGATAAGTAATAGTCATAAGGAAAACATATCTTACAATATATTGACTATATCTTTTAGAGTAATCAAGGTGAAATATGTTTACCTTTTTGTAAAGGTGTATAGATCGGTTTGTCCGTTTGTACGATCAGGTAACCTGAATGGTAGCTCAGAATAATTTCCCTTGACCGCTGCGTTCCTTTCCATTCCGAACATAATTTGACTTTGCGTGGCTTTTTGTAACCATCAGTGTTAAATACCTCGTCAAATATATCCGCTTGCCGGACCTTTACAGTCGTATACGTTGGAGTTTCTTCATTTTAAGAAAATGACATTAATTGTTTCATTTCTCTAATTAAGGTTTAACCCACATAGTTATTAAGCCAGTGATACGATTAAATCTCGCCAACTCGGTTAATGTCGATTTTAACGTAGAAAGTGGCCAAAATTACACATTTTACCCAAAAGCACAATCTTGCACAATAGAGAACAAGAACGGAATAATTAACCTCTATTTAAGAAACTTGAAAACTTCACACCACACCTCAAAGGAAATATTTCATACGAACCTGGTAGTATTCCGAAAGAAAAGATATTAGGAAAATGTGTTTAACATCAACATTCTTGACGTAGCCAAGACAAGTATCAAATTAAAGTGAAGAAGACAGTGTACCATACCAACTCATTAGAAAAGGAGGAAATATTTAAAAAATCTAAAAGTAAAAGAGAAACAAAACAAAGGAATGGAAGAAGCTAGAAAAAGAATACGAGAGAAAGAAAGAACTTCAAGTATGTTTACTTACAAAGATAATAAAAGGAGTACATTTAATTTCATAAAATGATTTTAATTCCCCTTAAACATCTTTATGAAAAAATGTATTAAGGATAAATTATTACTCGCCTTGGTCTTTAACTACGACATTTTTCATGGAAAATTGTTTGCCCTCATGCTCCATCCAAAGCTGTAATGTTTATAAAGATAAGAATATTTAACCAACAATAATTATCAAACGGCAACTCGATATGTGTGTAAACGCTTAATAGGAAACGCTGTTTAGTACCTGCAGTTCATATCTCAAAGCTGCCGAGCATCCTACACTATATAGCATTGTCAGGTTAACTGTATCACTTACCTGTTGATTATTTTAGAGCATTTTTTCTTTTTATCACTTATGTATAATAATTCACTATTTCAAATAATATTCCACTAATTGTAATAATATTTCTTTGCTAAATATCTGAATATCAAGAAAGAAAAAATATGACATTACTTTGACAGCTGCATCTGTTTCTCCAAATACACTGACAACAACTGTTTCATCATGTTCAAATCTTATCACGTTTGGGGCTATTACGAAGTAGTAACGGCTGAAAAATATACAAAGAAAACGTTTTGAGAAGTGATATTCGTATGCAGATGATTATGTGATTTAAAGAACCACAACTCCGAACAAAGTAATGCATTGAGAGTCAATCACACAAAAAACGACTTGCCTGGTTTGGTTCAGTTATCTTAATCATGAAACAAAAAGATGCTGCGCTTAGTTCGGAATGACTGAGAAGATCCCAAAATTTACCATTGGTGTTTAACAATAATTTTTCCCGTCTTTTCAGAAATATGTGACTCTTTAAGTTGCTCTAAAAATAGGAGAAAGACTAGGACTACAATTGAGGTTAAATAATTTGGTGTGAATAACGATAAATAAAGTTTCATTTTAATGGCGTGGTACTCGTTGCATCATCCTATGTCAAATAAATGTGTTTACTTAAAATATGTTGGTCCAATAAAAAACAAATTATATACCTAAATAATTTATTGTGTTTTTTAACATTTTATGATGAAAAGTTATCCAAATGGACAAAAATATACTCACCAATAAACAAAAAATATATACTTGAATCAATAATTGTTGGGTAATTATACTTATATCTGTTTTAGTACAACTTGCAGACTGGGATATTGTCAGACATGTAACAACAGTTTTGATTGGTTTTTTACATACCATATATTTCAGTTGCCGATTGCCTACATTTTTAAATGTATGTGTTCCAACCGAGTTTTTGGTTACTTGAATCGTATTTCAACATTGTGACGCTATATGTCAATGTCGGCAATTAGATTGACTTGACCGTAACGTGATGATTGTGTTACTTTTCTGTGACATGCACGACCCATGAGGAATTTTTTGAAAAACTTATAGTTAAAGTAGTAATTATCTACACATAAGAGAAAAATATTTGAGAGTGGAATTATCCTGGCTTCGAGGTAATATTTTGTTTTTCCAATCTCAGAAATTTCACTGGTCAGTAAACATTCTGTGACTGTTTTGTGACCAATCAGATACTTGAGAACTGAGTTCTGAGCTCAGAAGACGTCTTTATAACCTCGGAACCAGCTTACAAATCTTTCTCAATAGAGCCAATCAGAACCTTTGCTACAACAAACTCGATTTCCTGTATACTAATTTTCCCTAATAAAGTGAAAACCCTCAATTAAGACCACCATCGGGACTGGACCAAAGTGGTCTTAATTGCGGAGTGGTCTTAATTGTGGATATTCTTATCATTGCTTGCACACGATATGACCAGGGCCTATTTTAGTCATTTTGTATGAACAAAATATATGTGTCTTAACCTGCAAATACAATATAAAAGTATATATTTTATAATGTTACATCTGATGGGAAGAAAACATATTTCTGAAGAAATTTAATATCAAATTTTCTTTGTTCTGATTTCAATAATAATTATTGTATGAGGTACATAATTCACATATATCAGACTTTATTTCTTCACAAAACAAATGTGCACAAAGCAACATTAAACCACTATGAAATTAACATTCTCACCTTTTTTCATTAAATATCCCATAAATAACAGCTTTTGAAACCTTGTGTAATCAAGTGTCATGCCTAAGAACAACCAAGCAGATAATAACAACATAACAACACATTTAAGATCTAGGAAGGTGTTGATTTTAATATCAGTGGTCTCAATAGTGAGGTCAAATAAAGAACAAAATAAGGAATTGGGACTGAATTTGGTGGTCTTAAATGTAGATAAGTGAGTTGGTCTTAATTCTGGATCATGTAACCATTGACATAAAGAACAGAAAATTCCGTTTTTTTAGAAACTGGTCTTAAAAGCGGGGTGGTCTTAAATCCGAGGCGGTCTTTAGTAGGGATTCTACTGTATATATAGTTTTAGAACACAGTTATTTTTAAGACACATTAAAATCTTTAGTAGACAAACATTTTTTGCCAGTATGAATAATTTATATTACATGAATATTTAATAGAACACGTTTTAAAGTACATATTAATTTTTAATGGCTAAATATATCTTATTTTAATATTTTTTCCTAGTACACAGTCAATTAGTTTTAGCACATTTTTTATCATAATTTTAAATATTTATTTATTTAAACAAAAACTTGACATAGAATAGTGTAACATTTGTCACGCCATAATTGTTGAAGCATTTTTAATCACATTTCAACATACACAATGCAAAATTTGATTTCACTAATAATGATGCCTCAGTGAGTCTTATATATATATCCATCAAAACAATGACGGTGACAAATCAAATTTCCTTTCATCATTTTATATCTATTATGAGTCTACTTAATGGTGCAAAATCATAGAGTTCTGCGTTTTCCTTTACAAGACGTTTTATTGAAAATTTTCTCATGATATTTATTACCTAACAAACCAAAACAACTGTCTTATATTATTTATTTGATAATTTCATCGCTAGCGTCGAGGAAAAATTGCTTTTTTAAGCGCGAGACATTAGATGTATCTATTGCAAAACATGTAATCAATATATGCCATGATACATTCTCCCTATAAAAACAGTTTTAATTTTGCTTGTTTCTGTTTCTTTGTTTACAAAGATCTGTTTTGCTTTTTTTTGAAAAAAAAAAAACAACAAAAAAAAAAAAAAAAAAAAAAAAAAAAACAAAAAACAAACAAAAAAAAAAAAAAAAAAAAAAAAAAAACCATCAATCAGTCAGTCAGTCAGTCAATTAATGAATCAATCAATAATGTATGATGTTTGAATCTGAAAACTGGAATGTCTGACGTCAAAAAAAACCCACTTAAAACATGAAAATGGTGAAATTGTGAATAAGAAAAACATCTGCAGATAAGTTTTTAGAGTTTTCAATCTGACACTTTGACAAGCGGCGTATGGTTTTCAGGAAATATAAAGCATGTGCCCTAAACAAAATAATAATTGACGAAATTAAACAAAATGGAACTACAAACCGAGCCTGCAACATTTTCCATTGTGCCGTTTTGCGTGTTAATTAGAGATCATTGTGTTGTGTGTTTTTTTTAATCCTCAAGATCGTTTAGCATGACACCGTTGTTTACTTTGCGATATTTTTTCTATCGTTTTTCCCTTTTTCTAGTAAGTGTTTACAGTATTCCTACTTGAATAATGTATGATCACACATATGATATGTTGTCTGCTTTTTAAATTTGTTCTTTGAGAGCTCGCCTATAATATATAGTCTTCATGAACTCTGTTCCTCTTTCAACATTCCATTTTACTTAATTACACCTATTGCTTAACAGTAAAGTGCAAAAGAATACAATACGATCATTTGAATGGAGTTGCACTAACGTGCATCATGATTACCTGTATTTTGATATTCACCATTTCTTGTTAGAATATAGCATTTTGTTTAAGACGGTGCTAGAAGGAGTGGCGATAGTTTAAGGTCATTGCCAGGCTCAATTTTAGCGTTCAATATGAGAATGATTTGTTAAATCTGAAAACAATAATCGAACGTTAATAATGTATACAGAATGATATGATTTATTGATATATGATATAACATTTATTTGGATTTTAAGGCATTTTGAGCTCGATGTCCAAAGTGTCTGTGGCCTAACCGAACTGATGACAAAATTGCTACATTTGTTACAGTGTCAGAACTGTTTTGCCTTACAGTGTCAGAACTGTTTTGCCTTACAGTGTCAGAACTGTTTTGCCTTACAGTGTCAGAACTGTTTTGCCTTACAGTGTCAGAACTGTTTTGCCCACATCAAAATAAACCGGTCAAAGACTAAGTCATCTACAAATAGTTCACTATCGTCGTAATAAACAAAGTATGGCCATATATTAACGGTCGTTTGCAATATAACCCTCGGGATAATATCTCGGGTTATATATACAAACAACTGTTTAAATAGGGTCATATTACCTGTCAAAAATATTTATAACTAATACTTTACATGCATAATAGTCTGTGACTACGCAAACTGTTGGTTTTATTGATGATTACATAATTCTCTTTTATTATTTTGTTATTATTATGATAAAATAAAATTACTTTGTAAACAAGCTATTTAAAAGTGACATCATCTGAGTTTTTTTTTAATTTCTCTTTCAATTATTGAACAAACAAACAAACAAAACAAAAACACCACACAATTTAAGAACATTATATTATATTACTTGTTTTCAAATGCAATCGACAACATTCAAATAAATATGTTTAAATACCTTCAATTAGTATTTAGATTTAATTGACCTATTTAAAAAATTAAGCTGTATATATAACAAAAAATGAAAATGTGTACCCTTGCACCTCCGAAACAAAAATCCAAAAAGAAATAAACAGAATAAACATTGTTTCGGCTCGGGAGCCTGGTTGCAAATAATCTATTTCTGCAAATTTGTTAAATGCAGCCAAACAGGTGCATCTCTGGGAATGCCTTCACCGCAATTTATTTAAGGCCATTCATAAAAATACTGCTTTTATGATAAGTTTTCAGATATAACTATACATACACTACGTTTTGACTGGTTCCAACAAAGAAGGTGTACAAGTAACAATGACCTTTTGAGGTGTATTATATTTTTAAAATTTTTAAAAAATATAGATCGAAATGATAGCGGACATTTTGTTTTATTACGCACAATTCGCAGCTTTTGAAAAACAACTACCAAGACACAGGGAAATAAAAACATATTAAATTCAATTCGTTAAATTGTTAGCATATTTAGAAATAATACATGTATAAATATGATAAATGTTCAAGTTTTCTGAAAATAAAATTGATTACAATTGAAAGAAGGAAACTTCAGTGAAATGTATATATACGAATGCAACCGGTGTAAAACAAAACCAACCGGCATCACAATACGTTTGAATCAGATCTTGGATCTTGATTTGACTTTCATTCGCATTTTGTTCCCCAAAATATTGATGCTACTTGAAGACTCAGTTTGTTTCTAAAAATCAATTCATATAGTAAAATGCAATTGACCTTTGTACTTTAAACATATTTATTTCATAATCTTTATTCTATGATAAAAGTAAATTATTATTAAATCTTAAACAAACAATATCTTCTTTCATAAAGAATTAACTACTCGTCATTAACATTAAGTTTTGTTCTGAAAAAACTTCAAATAAAAACAATAACAACAAAATAACAACAACAGCAAAATGCTTACAGCTGACACGGAAAATTTGATTAAAAAAAAGAATTATATCAAACAAAAATAATTAACAAAAATAAAAATAAATAAAAAAAATAAAAAAATAACAACGAAAGTAGGTAAAACATATATGTAGAAATAATATGTATAAGCATTGACTTTTATTTCCATGCCTTTTTATTTTCTCTTGCCATTTTTGATTTGCTCACGAGAACCAATTCCATATTTTCTGTGTTCCTAACTCTATCAAATTTCAAAAGTTTTCTAAATTGTTTATACAATTCAAGATTACAACCGCATTTCTTTCTCGCGATAAAGTTTTAATGGTGACCTTGGCTTTCAATTAATTTGAAATTGAAGTTATGTTGTTAAAAAGAAGATTTAATAGCAGCATTAGATGTACAATTGATTTATATAGTGACTATGTAAAACTGCAAAATATTTATATCAGCATTTTAATCTATATCAAATGAATATTTTCTTTTAGTTTCTGGTTTGTTGTTATTTTTACTTAGAACGAGTGCAACATAGTGTAAAAAATAGCTTGATTTTATTTCATTTAAAGTAGTTTGCCTCAAGATTCAGATGAAAGTTTAAAAAATGTATAAAAAAAGTAAATAGTTGGGAAGTGGGAAGTTAAAGAACATAATAAAAACATTGCAAAAGGCACATACAACCCACGTAAATTACCAAGCAGATGTCGATATATACAAAAAAGCAATTTCTGCGTTAGTCACACACCGAAATTATGATGAAACATATATCAGACTCAGTTATCATTCGCACATCACATTTAAATCATTACTTGAATCTTGCATCTTTTTACTTTTCTTAAAATCTTGGTACAATTTTCTCAAGCTTAGTTTTCTTGAAATAATTCATTCATCTGGAGGCATGCCCCTGTTTGGATCTAAAAATCAAATATATTTTAAGCCAATTGCTAATTATTTACTGTCGAACTGTATTTACGACGTTATTTGCAAACACATTGCATTAAAATTTGAACTTTATGCAATTATAGAAAAAAGGTTCATATGAAACATTTAATTGGATGATTATTACATTTCTTTTGACGCTTGTTTTATTTGTCCCTACCGGTGTAACCGAGGGACACTTTAGGGCTCCACCAAGTGTTTTTCCGGACGTCCATTAGTCCGTCCGTCAGTTCGTCCTATTTTCAAAAAGATTGTTATGGAAATAAAAAGACTTAAAGTATGGCAATTACAGTAGATTTGTGACAACGTTTGTGATAACTCAAAATTACTGACAGTAAAATAGATAGACGTCAGTATGGAGATTATGCACATTATTTTAGTTCGACTATAGGGAGTATATTGAGAGCTGTATGTGACCAATCAATACTTTTGATTAAAGGTTTTATACCGTAAAATCTTCTTAACTATAACTGTTTAATTTCTTAAGATATTTAGTTCAAATTTTAAAATATATGTTTCTGATTATCAACTACACCATATTTGACAATGTCACAACTCAAGCAACAAAATTATCAGAATTATGCATATGAACGAAACTATGTTGTTGTTTTTTATAACTTCTTTATTCTTAATGTATCTTCTTCAAACTTCAAATATTTGTGTCTTACCATCACCCACATTATATGCGACAAGGTTCATTAGCCTATATTATCAATAATATATTCCTTGAACTCTCATGTTCTTCTGTGTTCCTTAAAGTGACATTATGCTCATATTTTTATAGTCAAGTTGAGCTGAATTGATTTTATATTTCAAAAGATTGACTGTCAAAATGGTGTTTGACCAACAGTTGATATTGGAAAATGTTTAGGATAAAAATATAACTCTGCCTATTATTTAAAAAAGACCGCCCACTCCTTTTATAAACTAAGCGTTATTGGTAAATTCTAATGGATATTTACAGACATTTCGTTTGGATCTGTGCGTTATTTATTGTTTATGCGAACTTAATTATTAAATTAAAAGGAATTATGGCAAAATGAAAACTTATTTTGATCTTCACCTGTTCACTCACTATATACCCTTGGATGGGCATAATGTCGCTTTAAGGTATATGTTACTTAAGATTACTCTTATCACTCTAGCTTGACTATTTCCAGAATTATGTCCACTTGAACTTACCTTTCTAAAAATGATTATGTTTTACTCAAATTTCTTCATTTCTAAAGGATTTACTTCAAACTTCAAACACCCAAATCATTAAAATAGGACAAGGTTTATAATCAAGAGCCAAATTTGCAGAATGATACCCCTTAAATTTTCAATATTTATTCTAAACTTTTCTTATTTCTTCATGGATATCCTTCAAATTCCAAATATATGTTAATTATGAACACTTTCATCATATGTGTATGTGATAAGATTTAAAAGTCTACCGCTTGGGCTGATATGACTAGGAAAAAACTTCTTGGTTACTGTAATGGTTTATATTTAAAAAATGCTATTTCACTGTTTTCCTTGTTTCTATAAATGGTATCTACTTAAGACTTAAAAAGATTGTCCCTTGTCATCACTAACATAATTTATGACATTTTTCATAAGTCTAGCATCTTTTTTTAAAAAGTTATTTCCTCGAAGTTCAAGAATTTTTCAGGGAAAAAATGTAAATATTTTGGTTACAACCATTGATGTTTAAAGATCTGCGACATGTATATCACCAAGTATGTCCGTCCCTCACCAATGACTGTATCCTGAGAACATGGAACTTTTTCAACAAACTTACATAGATTATACAAATTTATTTTAGTGTGATTGTGTTGGAAGCAATAAGTTTATTAACACACTCTCGAATCCGTTCCTGGAACCAACCAGTACTAAGCAATTAATGTAAAGTTTCTTGCTCAAGCAAACTACGGCTTGCCCCTGATAAGGTTCGAACCCACGCTGTCAGCTATCCTTAGATTACTAGCCCGACGCGTTAAACACTCGGTCACACTTTAATTTAATAATAGTAGAGATTATTTGAAACGTTATTTATACATATTCATCCTGAGATAATGGGATCTTTTTATCATCTGTTGAATAAAAATAATTTCCTTTCACAGAAACTGAACATATTACTGTGATATAATTTTTAATATTTATTGCCTTTTTACATTTTTGTATGTTTTTCCCCTTTGGTACGTCTTTTGATTACCATAACAAATTGATATAACATATTTTTCTCGTGTCATGGTCTTTAAAACTCGAAAAAAAGTATAAACCTGCAGGGTAATACACCCCTTATAAAGATTTTAACTGTATACCGTCATAGCTTCCTCTTCATTTATAAATAGTTCCCTGGTATATCATAGGTGAAATGTATGAATGTAATGCCTTTACCATATATCATTGACCGTTTCTGCACATGTCTTTATGCACTTACATTCAAAGGAGCTTGACAAAGCATTTGCAGCTCGAGTCTGCATAAAGCTGTACGCATGATATGGTTATTCTTGTTATTTAGTCTTTCATATAAGTGGAAGAAAACTTGAAAAACCTACAATGAATTAACAAGAAGATCGCATTGTCTGCCTTGTTTTAATTTGATAAGTAAGTAAGTGAATGTAGTGTAGAGGTTTGACATTGAGGGAGTCTTTAAATAGAAAATTTATTATATTTGGCATTCAACTTTATGTGATGCACATTTATTTGTATAAAACTAGTTATATTAGTGCAGAGTGAAGAAACACTGTATTTTTAAATTTCCAGTCACTATAAAACCGAGTAAATACTATTGAAAGGATGTTGGATTAAACATTTTGAATTTTTCAATTTTTTAGGAATTTTAGCCAAACTGAAAACAATGTTTTTTTTTTGAAATTGTAGGGACGCTGGACAGCCTGCCACACTAATACACACACCTCTGCCATGAAAAGATATGCAAACTATTTTTTAAAACACATTTTCATACAACACATGATCATGCATTTGATGTATTTGAGTTGTAATTTTATTGTAAGACGGTTTAAAAAGCATCCACGCCCTTATTATAAAGAATGCTTTCATTTTCTATATGTATAACGTTTTATACCTTTGTGTCCCGTTGTATATACAGTTTACAAAACTGCACACATAAATGTGAGCTAAACTAATAATCGTCTTACAGTGATTGAAAACATTTCATTGGAGATAAGATACCACATTAAAATTATATACTTTTAATAAATTATTTAACACCCAAGTTTGTTCGTTTGTTTTGTTAGGTTTTACGGCGCTCTAACACAGTTTACGACATAAAGCGCCGAAACAGGAAAAATAATTTTGGCTAACCTCGAGTGTTACAAACTTTAAGCAAAAACAAGGAGTCCAAACCACCTGGCTTGCTGGAACTTAGAGATGCATAGACTCCAGCGTTATTCGAACCCATTTAATCGCCTCTTACGATAACGCATGGTTAAAAGGTGGCTGCAATTCTAATGAGGCAACATGGGGAATAAATAGGTATATGAATCAATCTATATTTTCGTTTGAATATTTACAATTTTTAGATATTCTATGATGGATTATTCTTATGGTGTGATAAGGGATATTTCCCAATGATTGACAATTATTTTTGCAAGCTTTATTTGTCATTATATTGTCAGAAGAGCATTGAATATGACCTGACTACTTCTCTCATGTCACACCTGTAACACAGCTAGAAAGAGGGTATACCGTGTCTGCTCATTATAATAATTCAACAGGTTTTGTAGAATAATTAACTCATATTACAATGGTTCCATATATAAATTTTAGATGAATAATATATCTGAATTTCTAAAACGTAAATATTTAAAATATTATAGTTTCTATTATTACAAATTAGTGCATTTAAGGTCATTTTATTTTTTTCTTAAGATGTAAATATTTTCTGAAAGTTAATAACTCTTACTTCATTAGCGTCTATTAATTCCTTGGTAAAAGAATACATAGAACTACGTTTTTGTGTGCTGTTACAAGGGTGACAGTAATGTAACATAAAAGACACTTCTCTTACAACAGTGACAAAAAATGAGTATGCATGGTACTTCCTTATTTGTCAGAACTTTTATTGAATTCTATTTTATTTTATCCTACGATTAAATGTAATCTGAAAACTACCATGTGTTAAATGCATATTACAGACAATTTAAACATTCTTCCCGTTGCAGGAGTGACGGGAATAAAATTAATGCAAGTAATTGCCAACAGTAAAATTCGTTTTCCAAATTATGCTAACAAGACAATCCCATGTGGCACGTCATGTCTACTTCTTTGAGACTGCTTCTAATATTAGAGCTCTTTTTTCATAATTATAGATAGGGATCAATTATTACTTTTACTGATTATGATTATGTTACATGAGTGACATAAACGTTTAGGACAGATTTCAAATTCACAAAAATAATACGAAAACTGTTTAGAAAGTGTGTTTTTTTTACATCAAAGTTTACTGACCTATACATGCAATAAATCAAAAAGGTGTGTTGTGACAGTAGAATGGTCAATAGTTTTATAAAATTTTCACAAATCGTTGCCTTAATGCCATATTGGTGTAAGAAAATCGACTTTAAAGTTTTGACAGACTATAACTTCACTCTTACTCACTTAATTTTAATATAAAATATATCTTCGTGTGCAGAATGTTTTTAACTTTTACACTGTGAATTACAAAGAAGTTACTGTAGATAGGCTATTTTTTCAATCAAAAACGAAAAATTGAAAAATCACCAAAACATACATTTCATCGAAGAAAATACAAGAACCAGAATGCTGTATTTAAGTTACAGCAATTTGACCCTAAAATATAAGAACATTAAGGAGTTACAGCAGTGTAAAATAATGACTATTTTACTGTTTTATACTGAACTTATTTTTATTAAGACGTAACAAAATATTGAGTGCTTTAACAAATAGTCTGGATCCACATTAATTTAGGCACAACAGAGCATGGAATCAGATAAGGATCAAAACAGTTTATAAGTCTGAAAAGCCAATATTAGAAATCAAGACAGCACAGTGAAGTGTGAATAAGAATGACTGTCATTTGAACTCGGGCTTCATTGTCTATAATGACCTTTTCCTTGAAATACTGAGTCTTGCAAATGAACAAAAATACTACTGATATTGTAAATGTAACACAATTAGATAAAAAGAAACAAAATTACTTCAGAAACATCGTAATTGTATTGGTATTAACAGCACTTAAAAGCAAAACTTTCATCACATGCTACGCTATTTTCACATTAAAATTGTACACTATAAGATATTTGGAATTCAAATTTAGTTTCGGTTTCGTTTATTATAACATTTATTCATTCCAAATTCAATTTTGAATACCTGTAGCTTGCAGACAAACTGCATGTTGTACAAAATTTAACTTTAACAAGACACACAGAAATGTGCGAAAATATAACTCCTATAACTTTGAAAAAACAACACAATAATGAGTTCCTTTCTGTAATATAAAAAAGAATAAACATTTGAATTTTAATATTATAAGGACAGCATTACCGAATGCTTTATTTAAAAAAAAGAAGAAAAATATGAAACGTCACTCAAAGCTCACACAATTTTTTCCCCCCACTTTAGTGGCGGGCATTTAGATTTACCCTTGTCCGTTTGTCCTTCCGTCCGTTCTCTATCGTGTCGCACGTAACTCAAAAAGTATTTAACCGAGAGTCATTAAACTTTACAGGAATGTTGATCAGCATGTGTAGTTGTGCACCTGGGTATTTTCGTCTGGATATTTTTAGTGTTTTTAGAGTTATTGCCCTTGACTTTGTAAAATTTTGCAATTTTCAACTTGTGTCGCATGTAACTCAAAAAGGATTTGATATAGAGTCATGAAACTTTACAGGAATGTTGATCAGCATGTGTAGTTGTGCACCTGGGTATTTTTGTCTGGATTAATTTAGTATTTTTAGAGTTATTGCCCTTGACTAAGTAAAATTTTGCAATTTTCAACTTGTGTCGCATGTAACTCAAAAAGGATTTGACATAGAGTCATGAAACTTTACTGGAATGTTGATCAGCATGTGTAGTTGTGTACCTGGGTATTTTCATCTGGATATTTTTAGTATTTTTGAGTTATAGCCCTTGATTTAGATTTTTTTTTTGCAATTTTCAACTTGTGTCGCATGTAACTCAAAAGGATTTGACATAGAATCATTAACCCTTACGGGAAGGTTTCTCAGGATATTTAGTTTTGCACCTGGGGTTTCGCTCGTGGATTTATCCAGTATTTGTAGAGTTATTTCCCTTGACTAAATAGAAGCCGTTTCATTATGTTATTTGTTCCTTGAATGCTTGAGGTAGAGTCAACAAACTATACAGGAATAATGATCAACATCATTAAATTACAGGAAAAATGATTCACATCACTGTGAAGCTATGAACCTGGGACTTTACATGTGGATTTTTCAGTTTTGTTAGAGGTATTGCTCTTGACTTGCAGTACTATAAATTTGCAGTTTTAAACTTGTTCATGCTTAACTCAAAAAGTATTCCACTTATAGGCCTGAAAATTTACAAGAATGTTGGTCAGCATGTCTACTTATGCACCTTGGGGTTGCTTGTCGATTTATTCAGTATTTGTAAAGGTTCTTGCCCTTTACTTAGTAAAAGAGTTTTAGTATGTTTTTTTTTTAAATATTTGACCTAGAGTCATAAGATTGACAGCACAGTGCCGCGGTGGGGGGGGGGGGACCCGTGTCCTATGGACACATTTCTTGTTAAAGATACTACAGATCTGGTTATGGTGTTTCAATGAACTACTTCTGTACCTCAATTACAAACATTATTAATATATATAGCGACATACAACTTGTTTTCAAAAAGTTTTTTAAACATACAATATCGTTTGCTTAATGATTTTTAACCTAACTGTAATTAAGGTATGAAAGCAATGCTCAATACCTATGATTTTCAGTCAAATATTACTTATATTGTACTTCAACATACGTTTGATATAACAATTTAAAAACTCCTCAATATTTTATATAGTCTTCAAACTTTGTAACATTTCTTCACAAAATCATGTTTCTATGTTTCCATTGAATGATATAGTCCAGTAACAGAATTTAGTTATATTAAAGAACAAAAATAGATCTCAATAGATATTCATTTCAACTTCACTTATCACAATTCCATAGATACTCATTTTACTTTAGTGTAAATTCATGTAAATTTTCAATAAACAACAGACACAATAAATTACATTTTATCATTTATGAAATATTTTAACTAAGTATAATATTTTCTTTAAAAAAATATTTTTTGGTATTTCATAATTTTCAGTAAAAAATGTTCAAATCACTTGGTAATTACAGGAAATATTACCTTATGGGTACTTTAATTATTTGTTTAACTTAGAAACTTGAATTTTGCTTTGCATGCTCCGATTACATAATAAATTTTAGCATATGACTGGAAATGATTTTACAATCTGATTACGTTGACAAAAAGGTATAGTCTGACACCCTTTTGATTTATGCAAATTAGCTGAGGGAGTGAACAGGGTGGCATTCTGTTTATTCTGTATTATGTTGTGCAAATGGCGCCTTGTATTCAACGCTAAATGGTGCATCTGAGAAATATTTCTGCTTTTTAACTTTTGCTTTAGGGATATTGTCAACTTTTACACAGCGATAATCTTAGATGTTTTGAGGTACTGTTTTAAGAACCCAAACAAGTGATACAGGACTGAACACTTCTGCTACTTTAAATGTTTTTTCACTCATTTTTTCAATATGACTACTCTTGAATTGTATTATGTCTTCGATATGCTGCAAAAATATAGAATGAATCACGTACAGTCATTTTCATAATGCTGTTAACCAAACATATTTTTAAGCCAATACAATTCAAATTTAATAGTTAATTATTATTATGCAAACAATGGCAAGCTCTTTTATTTCTACAACAAAGCAAAGAATGTCTTCTTATTCAAATGCGCTAATACATTGCGCAATTTTACAATTTACACAGTAGGAAAATAAAACAAACATCCTAAAAACCACTTATGTCTTGTTTTATCTCATTACTCGAAACACTGCTACATTTAAACACTTGATTTTGAAAAAAAATCAACAAATTCTTTCTAGTATTGACAACCAAATGTCATTATGCGTTCGAAATCGGTCTGGACCTTTTGGAGCATTCTATATTTCCTTCCCAATTTCCTGGCCTGCTGTGGGCTCATATACTCCATGACTAATGTTGTTCCCATTAATGGATACCGGAAACTGTAAATAAAGAATATTGTTAACTTGATTTTGTAACCGTATGTACACCTAACATGTTTTAAAATGCTTTTACTTTCTAAGGATTAAGATCATTTTAAATGTATCAGTATCATCCATAAACAGACTAATTCAAAACATGTCTGCAGCAAATCATTTTATTCCGTGATTATAACTTTTTAAGTCTGAAGTTTTATAATTCTATATCATTTAATGCTTTTTTACAAAAAAAAAAATTCAAAAAAATTTCCCCGTAGCTTTTAAAAAACAAAAATTTAAACTTGGTTTTAAAGAGAGATAACGTAATGCAATTTTCAAGCCCCCCAAACACCAATAACCAATCCTTGACACCCGCTGTAATGAGTATAAAAAGTAGAAAATTGGGGGAATTTGGTTTTTTCAGTTTTATTTGAAAAAAAACCGTACATTAAAAAAGTCTCCCAACGCCTCAAAGTTACCGGTTTAAACCCAATATCCTGATGTCTGTTTTTAACAGTTTTGAAAAACGGGGAATCATTTGGGAAGCATAACTGCATCTTTTGGGACCCATTTATTATCTAGTTTTGTTCTTTAAAGATATAAAACCATGGGGGAACTTTTCTGAAAAACATGATATTTTTTTCTAGAAACACGGTAAATATCATTTAAAGGGTAAATTTACAAAATCGGGTTTTTTTTTCAAAAACAAAGTTACATAAAAATTGCGGACTCGGTTTGATGAGTCGGTCATGAGGATAAATGAAAAAATTTGCAGCACCCCCTCACGCCCCCTAGCACCGGTTTTAAGGGGTTACTCAATTTCAACATTTAAATTTAGGGGGGCCCATCAATAAAAACCGAGGGAAACAAAAAAAATAAAAACATTTGAAGTAAAAGTCCCGGGGCAAATTTTTTTAGGGCTGCCACACACCCACTTGGTACCTGCTCCCTGTAAAAGGGATAAAAATCGGGAAAAAAAGTTTTCCCCTGGGAAAGGGGAAAAAAACCAAAACCCAAAATTAAAATAAAAATTGGCAACCCTCAGTTTGATTAGTATCACTTTGGCGGTTTAATGAATTAGTGCAACATCCCTCACGCCCCCTAGCACCGGCTTGAGCGGTACTCAATTTTCAACACTTTATAGTGGTAGAATAAATGATCCCGAAGGACCAGAAAAATAAATCAAGTTTGAACTTGTGAAAAATCTTAAACCAATTACAAAGTGTTTTAAAAAGATTATTACAGCATGTACAATGTTAATAAAGCAATCGAAAGAGGATTAATTTTTGCCATACAATGAACATACAGTTTAATTCAAAAGAAATTGAAACATTTACTTGATTAACCTTACATTTTGAACCATATCTTAAATGTGTCATTTTTCCGTATGGTACTATCCATAATCATTTAAAATAAAGTATTTAAAAACATTTCTTTGCTTACATTTGTCCCTCATCATTTATAACTTTATAGCCATCTTTGCCTATTATAATGTAGGTTTTTTCTTCTTGCAATGCTGGGAATTGACACCAGAACTTCCAGAAAAAGTGCATGTCGTCGCCTGGCTCAAGATTCTGTATCCCTGTAAAATGACGTAACAAAATAAAAAGCTTGTCAATATGCCGTAAATATGTTGGTTTTCTTTTTCTTTTTTTAATGCAGACTGACATTAAAAATCGTCGACATTTGCCTATCGTTCTACATGGGTAGATAAATCGTGGGTCTCATTTGCACTTATTTCACATCAGCTATACATACACAATATTTGCAATGGCAAGAGAAAAATGAAAATGTCACAGGCAATCTTGGAAACATTTGTAAATATGATGCGAGTCGGGTGATATCAAAACGCTATCCATGCCATCATCTAAACAAGAAAGGTAGGCGCTTGAGTGTATCAGTACAGGCAATACCATGGCTAAGTCATGAAGTAAATATAAATGCCCGTTGAACAACAACTCCTATGAAATGAAGAGGATTTTATTAAGTTTAAAGACATTCTGATACAGACATTTAGATTTTTGCGATTGATTTGATATTTGCACATAAATAAATACATCAGCTACATATTCTCTCTTGTGTTAAGTTCTAAGTTCATGGATGTTTAAATAACAACTTTTCTTATGTGTTGGAAGGGAACAAGTGAAGCAATACAGATTTGTGATCTTTAGATTCTTATTCAACAAAAGTAAATGAAATTTCAATGTTTAAAAAAACATCGGAAGACACAGGTCAAAACATTACGTATCTAATCAAATGAGTGTTACTGTATAGAGGCACTTCAGATCAGGGGATATTGAATGAGTGTTGGTTCAACACTGAAATTATTGAACAGTTGAATAAAATTAAGATATACAAGCATAGTATAATGTATTCAACGAGATCAAATAATTTAGAAATGAAGCTATACGAACATAATATTATATTAATAATATACCAAAAGAACCATTTTTCTGGTAAACAATATTTCATTGACAAAACATGCATAAAATTAAATTAACGCTATGTTTGTCAAAATTGAGTGACGTCACGTCAATATATGCAAGGCCGTGCACTTTCACTTTTACGGAGTAACAGCACAGTTATGAGAAAAATCTATGTATATAATACGTTTATTCCACTTTCATACTTTTTGATATAAAAGTATAACCTTTTACATTTTGTTAAAGGCACAATATGTCTCAGAAATCAATAATTTTTATTGTATAGAAATAGTAAACATGTGTTTAACACTGTTTTAATAATAGATTTAGAACATGTACGAGACAAGATGTTTTACAACCGATGTGGCGCTGAACGTGATTTCATAAAGGTAGCAAAATGTAAAGAAATTCGTATCTATGACTTTCATTAATATACTTAATCAGTATTTTATCTATACCAATTGCTAACAGATCAAAGAAATCGAAATAAAAAAGAGGAAAAAGAAAGGTCAAAAATCCCTGATAAACAAAAATGATAAAAAATGAGAGCATATCAATAAGATGATAACATATCTGTCTCATAATAAGCCTTTAAGAACAACAATGGAAAAAATCGTAAAACTATTATGGCCATTAATAGTTTAAAAATATGATTATGTTGACAAAGATGATGTTGACAAAGATGATGATCATGGTGGCGTCGCATGATAACTGTTCTTGTGGTGATTATAATGATGATGATTTTGGCTATAATTCTTACCTTGACTAAAACTATGTATCACAGTGCCTCTTGCAATTTTCTCTTGACTGACAACATCAAATGTAACCTCTTCTATTCTTACGCGTACAGCTGAAATCAAAACTATTAAGTTGACTTTGTACCTTGTTATCGTTTTAGGGACAACGTGATGAATAACAATGTTGCAGGAGTTGTAAACGACATTGTCGACCCTCCGATAAGCAATACTTCTGTTTAATTAATATTTTTAACAAACATCAAATTGAAATACTCATTTAGGGTAGAATGGATGCCCCCTACTCCACTGTAAGTTTACTGACGTAAAGCAGGACAGTATGACAGACAATTGATATTCTACAGGACTCCCCCTTACCATAAGTGGTTGGGACATAAAAATGACATCCAATGTTTCGAATGTTGACATCTTGACTTCCCCAATATTATGAATTTCAAATTTCAATCTTATTTTTAGGATATCATAATTATGCTGATAAAAAATAAAACCAAGCAAAACTCTAGATGCACAACTAAACAAGCTGCATGGCGCAATTGCAAAATCTTAACCAAATCAAAGGCATTAACTCTGGAAAATATGAATATATCCACAAGCAAAACCCAGATGATCAACTTAGCAGACTGACCAACATTTCTGTAATGTTTTATGGCTTTTAGTCAAATAAACTCTGGCTACGGGCAACCGAAGTTTAAAATTGCGAATTTTTACTAAGTCAATGGAAATGGCTCTGAAGAAACTGAATTAATCCACACACAAACCACAAATGCATAACTAAACATATTGACTAACAATTCTGTAGTGTTTCATTACTCCAGGTCAAATTATTTTTGGGCTTTGCTCAACACAAGTTTAAATAGCAAATTGTATGTAAGTCAATGGCAGTTACTTTAAGAAACTGAATAAAACCTCAGACGCACAACTCATGCTGATCAACATTCCTGTTATGCTTGATGACCTTAGCTCAAGCACTGTTAGAGCAATTTGTGTCACAACAAGAGAACACATGCATAACGCATGGACGGACGGACAAAGGGCTAATCTAAATCTCGCACCCCCACACAAATTTCAATTTAATACGCGTCAGTAAGAATCGTATGGATAAATAACCTACCATAGTCTGCTTTGTTCGTGTTACATGCGTATTGATACAATTTTGTAACAGGTCTTTTTCGATTCCTGGCTAACCTTTCAAGTTCTTTTTCCACCGGTTGCATGCATATACCTACAAAGACCATCTGTTTAATATAATCTTATGTTACACTCGTAGTATTTCTAAAAGATAAACCATGGAAGGAAAAAATATTACATTATTTACCTTACAAAAGACATAACTATTTAACTATGTTAGACTCTGACAAATCTTTGTTATTAACTTGTTCAATGGTAAAAAAATAAAATATCATATTTAAAAAACAAACTATAATTGTTGAAATACTGGCTCATTCTTTGACATTTTCTTGTTTTTATTTTCCTTGATTTGACATCTTGAAATAAATTACCCGTTAGGCCATTTCTTCTAAAATAACCTGAAATATCAACAAGACTTACTTAGAGAGCATGTGCACTCCTTGGAGTTTTGCCCGCATTGGTACGAGACATTCTTGCCCTTATTTGGCCCAGTACCATAAACCTGAGTACAATGCTTATCTGTATAAAAGATTCATGCAAATTGTGTAAGTTTCATGTTCAGATGCATATTAGAAGCAACTCGTAAGAACACTGTTTTTGAAGTTCCTTAGATGTGCATGATATCTTACACAACAAACAAACAATTTTTCTTTTTATTTTATTGCTGAATACATGTTTAAATGAAATTTTCTTAATATTTACTAGAATATCAAAATCTGTTTCTCAACTGTATATAATTGTAGCCCTAAAATTTTAGACGAAATTCTCATTCTCATATGTACATGAAGTCTTGAGCTAAAAAATAAGTTAAAAAATGGTGCTGATACTATTTATCTTATCCATAATATGATTTATGGCTTGTTTGAATAATTAAGACAAACAATTAAAGAAGAAGATAAAGCTACACCACGCATAACAGCAAAGCACAAACGGGTAGTATTACAATTATTTAAAAATAGGAAATCATTAACTCTTTACAGTGATTTGATTGACAGAGTAGCTCTCAAAATGGGAACTCTTTCATAAAATATCATAAACCATAAAAATTTGGGACAGACTTCAGGATAAAGCTACGCCAAAAAATTTGTTTTATGGAAATATCCAAAACAGGTAAGGTTGACCGATGTTCGGTTTGCAGGTCGTTTGAACTCCTCAGATTTATCAAAAACTTCTAAAGCACACATTGAGATAAAGTGAGACACGCCCATTTCAGTCATACCTTTATCTCTTAACTCTGGAAAATTAATGATGCTTATTCAATATATTTTACATATGTCATCATGTTAATGTTTATTATTCTTAATTAAACAATGGTTATAGTTAGAAGTCTCTTAACACTGATTCAGACATCAAGTTGGATTATGCGGAGAAACTAGTTATTACTGGTTAGCTTTATTTCCAGGGAAGCCGGGTATTGGAGCAACAAGCATATTAATGGACTAAAAGGGGTTTCAAATTCCCCCTATCCAAAAAGGCCCAAAAAAACAAAAACCCGGGGTTTAGTAGGGCGTAACATTAAACTGAAGATGGGTTTCTTAAAATTATTTTCCCTCAAAATTAAACCTTTAATCGGAATTTCAAATTTTTCTTGCCTTTTTGAAATCTAGTACAATGTAAAACAAAAAAAAAAAGTTTTAAATTTTCGGGGTGATCTAGAAATATCCGGAATTTAAACCATAAATTTTAAAATTATATTTTTTTTCATAAAAATAACACTTTTTATGTAAAATTTAAACCCCTTGGGCAAGAAAACCCCAAAAATTTTTTAAAAGATTCAACATATTAGCTTTTAACAATTTATTTAATGCGCTGCACAGAAAGTCCAACAATCTAAAAAGAGTTCATACTTCTATACTTCTAAAGACATATTGTTTGACTAAAATATACTTTTCTCGTTTTCTTTTTGCCATTTTTGAATTTTCTGAAGAATACTATAATTTTGACTGTCTATGAAAGCGGCGCTTTCCTGACGCTTTAATTGATTGCGTTTTTTTTTAAATAAATAAACGTCGAAACTAGAGACCTGCAAACTTGATTGCAAAATATTCCAATGTTCAGATGACATGAAATATTGGCTTGACATTTTTCGGGTTTAACACCAAGCGTGGGCAAATTTTGGTCAATATCAATTTCTGTATCAAACACTTTCGTGTAAAATAAATGTCAAAGAACGTCACCTTCTTTGAGCTGCATAAATTGAGGTTTTGTGCATATATAAATTTTTATGAAGAAAACATGAAACTTGTCAGAAATAAAAACAAATAACGGAACATTCCGCACCATCCCTCGTATTTCATGTTTTGACATAATAAAAGGAAATGTTGATTAGATGAGTTTTTTGTATTTCTTGACCAGTTGAATACAAAAATCCATATAGAATAATGATTCCAAATCGGCAACATATAGAATTAGAAAGATTTTACCACTTCTACAACTACATCATCTGTCATAAGCCAATCAAGAACGGAGTATTAAAAATCACAAGATAACAAATTGGAAAAAAAAGATGCCTTATAAAGGGGCGCCTACGGGACACGCTATTAACCATGTTTTTTAAAAACTGATATATTTTATTGATGCGAAAACTCTATACTAGTGTGCAGGCTCCTTCAGGGTAAATTTTATATTAGATAAGTAGACTGATACAAAAAATCCCGCCAAATTTCAAAGGACTTTTTTTCAATGGTTTATACCAGCCTTCGAATTCTACGCTTTTAGGTCATATCATTTGTATCAAGAAGTAAGCGCTACATCGAAGATTTAAAAATTCAGTTTTTGGGAAAAAATTGGGTAAACTTTTTAACCTTTAACTATCTCGAAATCAAAATTTAAATTAAACCAAAGCTGAATTTATTTCTTATTTAATTTTTGAGCCAGCTCAAACGGGAAAATTTAACATTTTTAAAACCGGGAAATTTTGAGCTGGGGTTGAATTTCCAGCCAGCCTGGGAAAATCGAAATTTAAAATTTTTAAAAACCCCAAAGACTGGGGGCAACTAATAATAATAGATGATGGTGGGTGGATGGATGGGGGATGGGTGGATAAAATAAAAATAGATAAATCGAGGAAAGGATGGGTGGAGGGTGGATGGATGGGCACGGGCCCGGAGGGAAAGGACGACGGGCGGGCAGACAATTTGAAGATTTTGGGAAAATTATTTATGTTTTAAAGATTTAAAAAAGCACAATTTTGGGTTACAACAATTACAAATAAATAAATAAATAAATAAATAAATAAATAAATAAATAAATAAATTAATAAATAAATAAATGAATAATTGCTATATTTTGTAATCCATGACATGTGCCCAAAACCAAAGATAACACAAAAAAGAGCAAGCTCTTATTTCCATTGTTGTCCTTAGCATTTGGTGGCATGACAAACAGAGGTATTTTATAAAAGAAAAAATATCACTTAAGAAAAATCATATTTATAAAGGATATCATTTTAAACTATCACAATTTAAAATGTAAAGTAACATAATTCATTAAAAGGTCAGTATCACATTAAGAAATAAATAAAGAAAAGATTACATTAAAAATTATCACAGTTTAAACGATTATTGCGTTTATAACAGGGACCATGGTGAATTAAGAGTAACTTAAATATGAACATACAGTTATGAATATGTAAGGAAACAACATGCCATGGATTACACTATTAAAAAGAGACAGTTTTTAAAATCTGATTAATAAAATGAAATAATTTTCAAAACATTTTCTTACTAGAAATTTCAAGAAAACACTAACATACTACTTAAAAAGTGTCGTTTGATGGCTACCTTAAAACGATGAAATTTATTAATTTCAGTCATACAAGTTGGAAGACTGTTCCAGAGTTTAGCACCAATAAAACTAAAAGAGTCTGATCCAGAACCTTTAACCTTAGGAAGACAATACCCTCTTTTTTTACTCAGTCTGATGCAATAAGAATGCATATATTCCTGAGACACAAAACAATCACTTAAGTACTCTGGGGACATTTGGTTTTTTACCTTAAAACATGACATGTCATAATTTGTTCAACTCTCTAACAAACTGGTAACCAATTAAGGGATTTTAAAATGGGATGGTCCAATATGAACTCAAGGTTAAGAACAAATCTCATCATTTTATTGTGTGATGTCTGTAATTTATTTTTCAAGACCTGAGTTAAACCATTATTCCAGACACAGCAGGTATTGTCAAAGTGACACTGAATTAAGGAATTGACTAGCAGTTTTTTTGGAAATATTTCTTACGGTAAAGGAACTTTAACCAGGAGTTAGCTTTCTGAATAACTGAACTGCCATGAAACCAAAGGACAGGTAGTGATTAATATTTACCCTGAGGTACTTGATAGATGTGGACGCTTCTATTGCAGTGCCGTTACAATTTATATTTAAATATAAATTCAAAATTTTCAAAAAACCTGAATTTCGAGCTGGATTTTAATTTCGAGCCAGCTCGAAGATCGAAATCAAAATTTTCGAAAACCTGAATTTCGAGCTGGATTTGAATTTCGAGCAAGCTCGAAGATCAAAATTATATTTCTTAAAAACCCGAAATTCGAACTGGAGTTGTATTTCGTGCCAGCTCGAACATCGAAATTCAAAATTTTCAAAACCCGAATTTCGTGCTGGAATTGAATTTCGGGCCAGCTCGAAGACCGAAATCAAAATTTTCAAAAAGCCGCATTTCGAACTGGGGTTGAATTTGAGCCAGCTCGAAGATCGAAATTCATAATTTTCAAAAACCCGAATTTCGATTTGGAGTTGAAATTCGAGCCAGCTCGAAGATCGAAAATCAAAATTTTCAATAACCCGAGTTTTGATCTGGAGTTGAATTTCGAGCCAGCATGAAGATCGAAATTCAAATTTTTTCAAAACCCGAATTCGAGATGGAGTTGAATTTTGAGCCAGCTCGATGATCGAAATTTAAAATTCATAAAACCCGAATTTCGAGGTCGAGTTGAATTTCGAGCCAGCTCGAAGATCGAAATTAAAAATTTATTAAACCCGAAATTTCGACCTGAAGTTGAATTTCGAGCCAGCTTAAAGATCATTATTAAAATTACAAAACCCAAATTTCGAACTGGAGTTGAATTTTGAGTCAGGTCGAAGGTCGAAATTCAAAATTTTCAAAACCCAAATTTCGAGCTATAGTTGAATTTTGAGCCAGCTCGAAGATCGAAATCCAATTTTTTAAAAGCCGAATGTCGAACAGGAGTTGAATTTCGAGCCACTTCGACGATCGAAAAAAGAATTTTCAAAAACCCAAATTCCGAGCTGTACTTGAATTTCGAGCCAGCTTGAAGATCGAAATTCAAAATTTTCAAAACCTTATTTTCGACCTGGAGTTGAATTTCAAGGCAGCTCGAGGATCGAAATTCAAAATTTTCAAAACTCGAATTTCGAGGTGGAGTTGAATTTCGAGCCAGCTCGAAGATCGAAATTAAAAAAATTAAAATCCAGAATTTCGACCTAAAGTTGAATTTCGAGCCAGCTCAAAGATCTTGATCAAAATTTTCAAAACCCTAATTTCGAACTGGAGTGGAATTTGGAGCCAGCTGAAAGATCGAAATTCAAAATTTTCAAAACCAGAATTTCGAGCTATAGTTGAATTTCAAGCCAGCTCGAAGATCGAAATCCATTTTTTTTAAACTCGAATGTCGAACCGGAGTTGAATTTCGAGCCACCTCGAAGATCGAAATCAGATTTTTCAAAAACACGAATTTTGAACTGGAGTTGTATTGCGAGCCAGCTCGAAGATCGAAATTCAAAATTTTCAAAACCCGAATTTCGAGCTGGAGTTGAATTTCGAGATAGCTCGAAGATCGAAATTCAAAATTTTCAAGACCCGAATTCGAGCTGGAGTTGAATTTCGAACCAGCTCGAAGATCGAAATTAAAGTTTTCCAAACACAAATTTCGAGCTTGAGTTAAATTTCGAGCCAGCTCAAAGATCGAAGTTCAGAATTTAAAAACAAGAATTTAAGTTTGATTGAACTTTTTTTTAAGAATCAACTTATTGCCAGCAATTTTTTTCAAAACGGTCATGTTTTTCAACTTTCAATTTTTGTTGAACAATTGACACTGACGAGTACGTTTACCTTACGTTACGTTATATTACACTGCAAATGAATTTCCGAAGTGTTCATCTTTTTAAATATCGTTCTGTTTTAACATTTATTTGCCTCATTGTTGCCTTAAAAAGAAAACATTCTGAAATCGTAGATAATGAATAAACAAAAATCTTAAAAAATACATGTAAACATTTGACATATATTCTTTAAATATTGTCTTTTACATCAAGTTTAGTTGGTATCTTTCACTGCAAAGCAGTTCCATCCGGGGAAAATTTGGGAAATTTGAGTAGTTTTTTTTTGTCTGCACATGCTACGGACACTTTTTAGAATCTTTTGATGTTTATATGTTCTGTTCACTGACCATAATTATAATCAGTATGCAATTGATATGTTAATAAAACCGGAGACTATTTTATTATTTAAAGCCTTACTTTTTTATGGTTTCTGACAAATGTCAGATCAGACTATTTCTTTCCTTTTAAAGAAAATGGTAATTCAGGATTACATCTTGGTTCTTTATTTTTTGTATACAAAATCAGTATTTGCAAGAATACGAAATTTCGTGTTTTAGCAATTTACAGTCTTTTAATAAAAAGATCCGTTTTTAAGTAAAGTAAGGACTTCGTACAACAAAGTTGCCCCATATTTCGAATGTACGAATAACGGTATATTAGTCATGTATGTATTGCATGATATACGGCTCTGCACACCTCCGTATTTTAAATTACGTACCTATTTATAATAATTTATGTAGAATTCCGTACACTTCGGTATATCTGCAGTGATCATAATGTCATTTATAGCGGAATTGTAACACACAATTTAAGCATAATTTTTAAAAAAAAAAATCCGTCGAATACAGAATCATTTTAGATAAAGTGGTAGTATCCGTAACAGTTGTCAAGGATACGCGGCGAACGGTCTTTGTCGGTCAACTTTGAAGTCGTGTACAAAACTGGCTGAAACGAAAATATTAAATAAATCAACATGATCTAATCTGAAATATGTCAACATTTTACATGACGCTACTCGAAAGTTCGCAAAGTGTCGCGTTCTACCCTAATTGTATTTTATGTAAATTGTTGGCTGAAGTATATATTATAATGTGAAAAGATTGTTTGGTGGAAATTAATTTGAGTCTTTGTGAACAAAAAATCTATTTAAGGAAATTACTTGAACACTTTTCTTACGTTTAGTAATATCTACTTTAAATACAGGCGGTGATGCGACAAACCTAAATTACACGTTGAAACTGTTTTGTCGGGAAAGAATAAAAATTGTAATATTAAAATAATATTAACATGATAAAACTAGGCTAAAACGGATTATTCGAATATATGGTTGCTGTTGGGGATCAGAGGTTTGTCCTGGTCGTTACGAAAGTGAATCTTGACTCGATAAAGCTCGACACTAATCATATATTCCATAAATCTCTACCTGAAGTATCTGAAATAGATCTTTTCTTATACGTTAATCTTGTATGTTTCAAATTATTTTAATTACTCTCCTATATTTGAAAATAAGTACTCGTACAATTGTGAGCTACCTTTGACGCAGAAAGCCCTTAATGATTTAATAACAAGCATAAATGTTCAATATATACACAAGATCTGTCAAATAATGAGTAAATTTTAATGTACCAATGAATAAGTGATCGTCAGTCTATCATGGAAGCATTCCGAGTATTTCCGAATATCTCATTCGCTATTTTTTGTAAATCTCTAATCAAAGTAGTTTTTTATTTATTAAAACGTGATGATTTATCAAAATAAATATTAAAATGTAATTTCTTATGTTCATCATCGTTACTTCATTTCTTCTAAATGATTATAATATCAATTTACTGATTTTCTACATCATATTTCTACCGGAATTCTTCTTCAGGACAGAAGACTGCCACAAGCGCAACAGCCTGGATTTTGTTTGCGCTTTACGACATGTTTTTTAATGGTTTTAGAAGAGTCTTGAAATCTAAATTTAGCTCAAACATAGTACCAGTCTAAGAGTTTCAAATTGGCGGCATCCAGCTTACTAAGGCTTTTTCTCTTACATGTTAGAATTATTCATCATATCTTTAACTTAATTTAAATGTGATTCAATTTAACTTATACAAGTCATACATGTAATCTAAGACCACGTAGAATTTATTTAGATACTATTTTTTTCGGTTTCCCCCAAATAGCAAATTAAAGCGACTTCATAGTAAGTGCGCTAAATTTCAGTCTGTCCATGCTGGTATTAATAGTGTTGACAAAATTAGTTGGTTTTCATCGAGCTATTTTGCAAAGGCATTCAAACAAGAAGGAAGTGTTCATATATAATTTCGGACATAGAAATAACCAACGAGTCATGTATAAACCCGCTGGAAGCTCGGAATATACCGGAAAATAATATTTAGTGCGGTGCTCCAACACTGTAAATAGTTCCACTCCTTGCGAATGCTTCCGAAGAAAAATAGACCAAGAATATATAGTTATCATTGTGATGAAACTTATACTATATCAGTGAAGTTGATAATTTTGACATAAAGTAACAAAACGTAATAATCTAGTTTTGTTAACAGTCGTTGTTAACGGTTGCGTTCATTGAACGATGCCTTTCCTTGTTGATCTTGTTTATCATATTTAATGTAGGAAGCCATATTATTTGTGCACGTTTCCGTTCTCCACTGTATATACGGCGCAAAGCCCGAGAAATATATTTTTATTATCATTAATCAGCTTATGTTTTGGGATCTTGTAAAAAAGTTTTTAAAGATATTTTCTGAATATATAATTTGCATCCGATCTGGTTACACGTACTTGACTTTACCGGCACGGGACATCAAAATCGTTTCCATTCTTAATATTTCATGAATATAATTTTATCTACAAATGTATAGAAAAAACGTAAAGATTATTTTATCATAATCTCACTTTTCTATGTCGATAGGAATGTGCATTGTAGTTTTTCCAGTTTTTTTTAGTATTTTCTTTTCTTTTTGAAACACACATATTTTGTTGATGAGTGAAAATATCACAAAAATGTATAATTTATGAAAAAAGGGAAGATTAACCGTGTACAACAATGATGGAAGCGGTCGTATATCGCGTGTCATTGGCAGTTGAACTTTTCAATTTCGTGCTTAAGTTTAAACAAGTTTTATTGCATAAAATACATGTTTACAACATATTATACAAATAATGAGTATATATCAAATTGCAAGTGAGTTGGAGACAAATTTTAACAACAAAAGATCAAGCTTTTCCCTTCCTGCTTGTTGCAGAATGGTGTTGCGCTATACGAAATTTGCACCAAAGTTAATATCGGAACGGTATAACTCTCGTAATAAGTGTCACATGGGTACCATATCTTATCGTATCGTTCAAGACTTTATTCATTTACAGGTGCAAATATGTTTGTTAGTTGTATAGAATTCTAATTCCCTGTTCACTGTATTATTTTGAAACTGTCTTTGGATATCAGATTTCCCTTAACATGAGCTTCTAGTTCAAAATTAAACTACTCAGTGCATGTAGTTCGTTTTTAAATAAAAAACAACAACAAAATACTGCTTTACAAGCGAAATGAAATTTGAAAGAAAATATCGATATGAATCAAAACGAGAGTGCTCCTAACGGGAATGGAGCCAGGGTCGCCAAATTTTGAAATCCAAAGTTCTACCTATCGAGCTGAGGGTGGATTATTAGTTCACAGGGAAAAAAGAAGTCCATTATATATTTACTATAATTTTTTTTTGGTAAAAAAAGATTGTTGTCATGTTATATTACAGGAAATAAACGTTTGATTATAAGTTATTCAAGCCAAGCGGATAATGTATGCAAGTATCTGTTATAGAACCATATTTACCGTCAAAACTCGCTTCACCTCAGATATGGAACACAAAATAAAAGATAATTTACGGGTCAAGACTGGCTCAAAAGACACGAACTGCCAGATTAAAGCTGGCTTGGCTCGAAATTCAACTCCAACTCGATATTCGGGTTTTGAAAATTTTGAATTTCGATCTCGAGCTGTCTCGAAATTCAATTACTGCTCGAAATTCGGGTTTATTAAAATTTTGAATTTCGATCTTCAAGCTGTCTCTTAATTCAACTACAGCTCGAAATTTGGGTTTTGAAAATTTTGAATCTCAATCTTCGAGCTGGCTTGAAATTCAACTCCAGCTCGAAATTCGGGTTTTGGAAATTTTGAATTTCGATCTTCTAGCTGGCTCGAAATTCAACTCCAGATCGAAACTCTGGTGTATTAAAATTTTGAATTTCGATCTTCGAGCTGGCTCGAAATTCAACTGCAGCACGAAATTCCGGTTTTGAAAATTTGAATTTCGATCTTCAAGCTGGCACGAAATTCAACTGCACCTCGAAATTCGGGTTTTGAAAATTGTGAATTTCGATCGCCGTGCTGGCTCGAAATTCAACTGCAGCTCGAAACTCGGCTTTTGAAAATTTTGAATTTCGATCTTCGAGCTTACTCAAAATTCAGCTTTGGTTTATTTAGATTTTCGAACTTTGGTCCAGCTCGAAGTTCAAAGATAGCTCGATATTCACTTTAAACTGAATTTTGATCCTCGATCCTCGATGTCAGTGCTAACTTTTCGATATTCATATCATTGCATGTCTCGATCAAACGTAATATAAATTCTTATTTCGTTTTAATAACGAACAAATTAGATAGCGAATAGCAAAGTACAAATTAAATGAAGTAACGTCCTCATTTGTCTATTGATATCAAAAAACATTACAAACATACGGAAGCGTCCTGGTGCCAATTTAACATGTTCTGTAAAAGAATGATAACTCCTACGTAGGAGATAAAAAAGCCTTATTAGGAGTTCATAACTTCTACGTAGAACTTAATAAGTCCTTCGTAGGACGTTCTTAGTCCTACGTTGGACTTTATAAGTCCTACGTAGGACTTTATATCTCCTACGTAGGATTTAATCAAAGTTCTGAAAGCACAAAGTGCCACTAAGTTGTAATAAATGTATGCTAGTGTATAACCTAGGATAGCATTATATGTAGGAAAATAAGTTACATGTGTCAAATTGTAAGCCGCTTTAATAAATACCCTTATGATGAAACCAGAAATTATAAAGTCATACTAAGGCGTTTAAAAGTCCTACGTAGGGTTATTAACTCCTAATTAGGCTAACGTAGGAGTAACAAAGTCCTACGTAGGACTTATAAAGAAAAAAAGTCCTATGTAGAAGTTTGAAAGTCCTACGTAGGAGTAATAAACACCTAATTAGGCTTTATATTTCCTTTATAGGACTTATAAAGTCCTACATAGGAGTTACAAAGTATGACTTATAAAGACGTAGAAGAAGTTGACGTAGGAAGTTTTAAACTCCTAATTAGGCTTTGTATCTCCTACGTAGGACTTGTAAAGTCCCACGAAGGAGTAACAAAGTCCTACGTAGGACATATAAAGTCCTACGTAGGAGTTATAAACTCATAATTAGGCTTTTTTCTATCTCCTTCGCATGAGTTATCTTTTTATAGAACGTGTTAAATTGGCACCAGGACGCTTCCGTACAAAAAGATTAAATTATTTTCTTGGAGAATTTGTTAAAGTTTACTATTTTTCGCCAGCTTATTATTAAATAACTAAGAAGCGTTTAAATGTGATGCGTAGGGATGTATATTTTTGGATCGAACTTTTATGGTCAAATCTTATTCTATTAATTCATTTGTTATAAAAAAACGGCCGCAATTTACAAGTTGTTTTTATTTCAGGGTCGGAGCAATTTGTTGTTTGAAGAAAAATGTCCCTTTTTACAAAATTCACCATTTAAAAAAGTCGATGTTTTGTAATTTTTAATGTTTTTTTTATATGTTGCATGATAAATTGAAAAAATTCGACTATCTTTTGATAACGATTTTATCAGACGAGACTGAAATTGGAAGAAATAACTCGGCCAGTATCGCCATTTCCGGCCAAAAATCAGCCTTGACTAATAGAATTGGTATTAAAGCACATTAAGCTGTATTATAAAGTTAAATTGTTGAACTATTTCTTCATTTTTCACAATACTTATTTCAACTTGTTAATAATTACATGAATGTGAGTACAAAAATTATATTGCGTTAAGTCTTTATATTTTTAAAAGAAATTTATTATCTCCCTTTATTTATGTACGCTAAATGTCAAGGTAACCTTTCCACCCAAACGAGCGATACGTCATTTAAATTCTACAGTAAGTTGTCTTATGTTTTAACACAAAATATTAGTTCATTCAAATTTATAAATATAAACACGTTTAATAATACAATGAATCTCGCTGAGGTCCTGATACCGGTCTGGCCTTAATTGTGGAATTTGCATGTCACCTGATTTTGCAAATTAAGGGGCATAATAAATATTTAATTTTAAATAGCATGAATCCTAATAATATATTAATTACAGGCTTTTTAGTCAACAGAGAAATTCAATTTAAATAATTTCAAAGTGATATTATCAAAACATGATTTTCACTGTAGCCGACACTTTCTGAATACGAATGAAAATATTAATTCTTAAACAAGTTGTAATATTATCAGAAATACACTCCGTTGTAAGTTAAATGTGATTGATAACGAAATGCACATGGAAATATGTACATATGATTTTAAAAGTGTAACAAAATTAGTATAATTCGTAAACTTGTATGGATAAACGGATTGTGAGTGATCAAACTAGCCCAACGTGAGCATTTTGTCATTTTTTGAACACTAAAAGCTAGAGAAATTAGAACAAACCTCGTGTAAGTAAAACACAATACCGTCAGACGGCATTTCGTAATGTGCAATGTTTATTTTGTTCTCCTTAACGAGCTGCAAGAAAGAAATGAGGATTGATTTTATTTCTTTTTATTATCAAACACATTATAAAAACAATTTATTTCTAATATACCTTTACCGTACTATTCTTCCAAAACTGTACAACAACTCATTATTTTAAAGTTTACAAATCTTGTTAAGGAAAATATGATAATGAAGCATAACGGACCTTTTAACAGTTGTCCTATAATAGATTCTAAAATCGACAAGAAAACGTGACAAAAAGCAGAAAAATCTGGAAACAAAGTGATTACTCGGAAGCATTAATCACAACAAAATTATATGAAATTACAGACTCGGTTTGATTGAATCTGTACATGAGGGATAATTCAATAAGTGCAGCATCCCTCACGCCCCTTGCGACGCCGTAAGCGGTACTCAATTCTCAACATCTAATAGTGTCGGCATCAATGATCCCAAAGGACCAGACAAATATAACAATCCTAAAGTGAAATACGGGGCAAATTTTTACAGCTGCCACACAGCACTTCACACCTGTAGTTGTGAAGATTTATAAATCTCATTGAAAAACATCAGGTTCAACATTGATCACAAAAAGAATAAATAAATAAATGAATAAATTAAACAGAAAAAAACAAGTATAACATGTTTTGTCGAACCAAACTAAGATTCTGTTTCACTATATCGTTACTATAAAATCGTTGAGTCAGTTTGACTGACGTTGATCATGAATTATAATAGAATTTTACTATAGCTAATGACACCATAAACCAGCGTATTATTTAGTCTTCGACAAATATTTTGAATGTTAAAGTATTTAATACCTTTTCTATATCAGACTTGATCACTTCGACACCTGTCTCTAGCCCAAACTTCACAATAGACATACCATATATTTGATCATTCTTAGAGCTACAAAAATACAAATAATAAAAGTACTTTACACTTGATTCTTTCATTGCGCTTTGATTAGCTCTTAGTTTTTTTAAGAATAACTGAAAAATCATCGGCGAGAGACATATGACTTTTAGACACAAAAAGGTTTTTTGTTTCGCCCATGATCTGACCAGCGACCTCTGTAAACTGGGTATCTGGTGATGTCCCTATTGTTCAAGGCAATATAACCGCTTTTTAATCCCGTCATGCTTCATAGTTAATGTACTGATTTCTTAAAAACTAACATATGTTTTGTGATGCTTACTTTGCAATAGGTTACACAGAAAAGGCTTACCTTACGCTGAAACGAATGCATTTTTCCTGAGTTGTCTTACGAATACGACGACTATCTGTATCTCTTTTCTTTCTTCCAAATGTACTTTGTATCTTAGGAGCCTTTATTGGTGCATCTCTAAAATAATCGTTGTCATAGTCGCTATTACCCTCATCACAGCGGCCACACACATCACAGTTTCTGTAAACCAGCGACAAATATTTTATATCTAAAGGAGTCGATGCGAGATGTTCAACATTGAAATGTTTTGCTTTGATGAATATGTTATAAGATATAGATGAAAATCAAAAACGCAAACGAGTGGACTTAGGTATCTCCTCCCACTGGCCCGTATTTTTAATTATCTTAGATTATCGGTCTTATAGTCAAATAATAATTTCTTACTTATTTTCAGAAATTAAAGCTGAGCAATATAGCGACATCGACATCTTTCAATTGAGTTATTATATTCTTAAGTTGTACTTGAGGCAATATAGAATACAGACTTATTCACAAATAGTATGCTATTCTTTCATTAGTATAAAATTATGTGAAATAATAACCACAAATATTTTGTAAATACAATTGTTTCGAACTTTTATACTCAAAACATCTTTTACACTTTACATTTATTGTGATATATTGGACTTTTAGAGACGATTCTTTTCGGCAAATAAGAAAGAATCTGTTTATTCAATTATCTAATTTATAATATCTCCATGATAAGTGCATGCTACTAATTTAAGGCAAAACGAATCTAAACTGTGCATGTGACACATTTGAAAACTGAAACAGATTACGTTCTTTATGCACTTTAAATACATTTATACACATTTTTATTTCGGATTCGGTTCAACTAGAAATAAAAGGAAGTTTGTATTACTTACCTTTCCATTGCCAAATTTGTATCAATCGGTAGATCTTCGACGTCTTGAACATCAATATCAGTGATGGTAAAGGGACAAGATTCTTCCGCAGTGACTGGTCTGTTATAACGAAGATCTATTGACATAACTGCACTTCCACTTCCCCTAACAATCAATGTAAGTTTATTGTCCATGGTTTCCACAGGTAACTATAGAAGAAGGCAAGGAATTCTTTTATCTACATTGCCGTAAGATTTAAGCATAAGAAATGTTAGCATCATTTCTCTTGTTTCACTTAATTTATAAATTTATATTGAAAGTTGATTTATCAGGAAAAAGTAAAATAAGTATATATTTAAGAAGTTTTCAATCTATTATTTTTGTCCAATCATTTGTATTTTTAGCTTAGATACACATAACACGGTAACATTCGTCCCCTCCTTTGCGCTTTCCGGGAGCTAGTTACCTATCCTAATTAATCAAAACACATTTACAAGATTTCTATTAACAGTAACAAGACCCAAGTTTTGTTTGTTTGATTGTATTTTACATCACACGACACAGTATAGGTCATATTGCGATATTCCAGCATTACTGGTTAAGGGAAACCTCAGGTCACTTTCCGTGTATTATCATAGACACAAACTGTTACCTTAGAAGAACCATCGACACCAGAATCCAAGGTCCCTGTCGGGATTCGAACCAACAGCGATGAGGGACAAGTGGTTGAAGTTAATTACCTTAACCTCTCGACCACAAACGCAATTTAATGTGCCAATGACATACACAGACATGGATTCAAATGATACTTTTTCAAGTATGTCTTACCTTTTTATTTATTTGTTGCATTAAAGCATTTTCTCTAGATCCTCGTTATTCAGATATAGGGAACAAGTGTGCTAAAATAATCAAAACACATTGACACGATTTCTATCCACAGCAACAAGAGATAATAACTATCAGCCATTAACCACAAATAAATGGAGTCCTTTGGTGTTTATTTCACTATGCCTTACCGTTTGTATAATTTGTTGAACGACTAGAGGCAAGTGAATTGGATTTAATGCAATAAACAAGTAGGCCACTTTCTATTTTCAAAATATGTCTTACCCTTGATATAATTTGTTGAACAATAGCATTTTCTTTAGTTACTTCTCTTCTCCAAACCATTTGGTCTGCGAAAAAGGTAACCTCTAGATCAATTTCTGGAGAATAGGTAACGATGCTGTACTGAGACAAAGCTTGCAGGCCGACCACTGTATCCTAGACAATTGACAAAACATATGGAAATATGCATTTTTTTGCTACGTAAATATATTGTTACGGAAAAAAGGTGTTACCAGATAAGACTTTAATATTCATTTGAATAATTAAATAATAATAATAATAATAATAACTAGAACTATCACCAAATGTGATTAATACCCACATATGACTGCTTCGGAAATGAGGAAGTTAATAGGTACAGAATACTTCGTAAAAGAATTTTAATAGAATTATGGTTATCGGCAATTGAAGATAGTTGTGGTTCTTGTACATTGCATTTCCTTTCACTGTTGTTGACAATTGATGAAGTTTGTTTGAAGTACCCTGTAAAAAGTCCAGATAGAGTTACGGTTCTTGAGCACTGCATGTCCTCTCATTGCGCTTGACCATTATATGAAGTTGTGTTGAATTCCAAACATTAGTTTTTGAGTTATGCATCAGACAAGGTAAACAAGAACCGGTTGAACCGGATAATGCTCCCCGAGAAGGTTTTGGACACAGGACAGTATAAAAAAATGAACAAAAGGCAAACAATACAAAATTTGGCAAGGGGGAGTTATGTTTTTATTTTGCACTGCACTTCTTTTCAATGCAATCTATCTATCTATAAAGTTTCCTGATGATATCTTTTATAGTTTCAGAGTTATGTCTCGGGTTAAATTCAAAGTGTAAACAAGAACAAAGGACAATAACTCAAAAATTAGACAAGGCTTTGTTTAGGTTCTTTAAGCATTGCAGTTCTATCCAATGATATCTATCTACCTACACAGTTTCATGTTCATATCTCATTAATAGTTTTGGAGTTATGTCCTGAACAAAAGTCAAAAAGTAAAAATAAACAAAGGGCAATAACTTCAAAATAACGCAAGACAGAGTTATGAGACTTTAGCACTGCACTTCCATCAAATTAGACCTATCTATCTACAAAGTTGCATGCTGATATCTCTTATAATATTAGAGTTATGCGTTTTAGATTTATGTCCCGGACAAAGTTCAAAGTGTAAAAATAAACAAAGGGGAATTATTAAAAAATAGGCAAGGCAGAGTTACAGTTCTTGTGCACACATACTCAATACGATCGATCTACCTACAAAGTTTCATGTTGATACCTCTTGTTGTTACAAAGTTATGTCCCGGACAAGAAAAGCAGACAGACGGACAGACGGACATTCTTACCAGAGCTACATTATTGAGTTTTCTTTTGTTATTTCTTTTGTTCTTTTTAACCCCACAATGCAGAAAAATAACCCCACAAGAGAAACGAAATGCTTGACATGAACGACATCTATTGTAATGAGAACAATAGACCAAACCCTGTAATGTAGCACTGGTTTGGTCGGACGGACGGACAGATGGATGGACGGACGGACAAGATGGCGACTATATGCTTCCCCGATTTTTTCGGGGGAACATAATGAAAAAGGGCCATAACTTTGCAAATACTGAGGATAGAGTTATGATTATTATACACTGCGCGTCAACTCATTGTGCTTGACCACTGTATTAAGTTGAATTGAATTCCAACTACTAGTTTTCCAAGTTATGCACTGCACAAGAAAAATTAACAAAGGGAAATAACTATGTAATTAGTCCAAGTAGTATGGTTCTTGAGCACTTCACTTCATTTAAATGTCCTGTATGTTGTGATCAAAGTGGTAAACCACACTAAGTGAAATTATCTATATGTACATGATTATGCAAATAAAACAATTTTCAAACATCGAAGAATATGTAAAATATGTACTGCAAATATTTGTGCATATTATATGTAATCATTAAAATATATGCATTCATTTCTTATTGTAAAATTTAACTTAAACTTTATAGAAAATAAAATGTTTATTGCCTGCCTTTATTTACATGAAATGTTAAATTCGGTAATATCTTTATAAAAATACTTTTTTGAACCTACAACATTGATAAATCTTAATTTGAGCATCATATTCATGATTTAAAACCATAACAAAAAATGTTTTACAGGATTTTAAACTACGCTTGACCATTGTATGAAGTTTCATTGAATTCCAACCATTAATTTTCAAGTAATGCACTGGACAAGAAAACGTAATTATCGGCAATAACTCTGCGATTAGCTAAGATTGAGTGGTTGTTTTTATGCACCGTTCTTTCTCTCAAAGTGATTGGTCATTGTATGAAGTTTTTTTTTTGATTTCCAACTAGTGGTTTTCAAGTTATGCTCCGGACAAGGAAAATGCAACGGAAAACTAGCAAAGGGTAATAACTCTATAATTATTTCACACGGAGTTATGGTTCTTATTTACTACCCTTCCTCTTATTGTGCTTGACCATTGTATGAACTTGTTTTGAATCCCAACCAGTAGATTTCAACTTCGGACAAGGAAAGAGTAACAAAGGGCAATTACTCTGTAATTAGTTAAAATGAAATGGAATTATAGTTCTTGTACACTGCACTTCCTCTCAAAATGCTTGGCCATTGTATGAAGTTTTTTTTTGATTTCCAACTAGTGGTTTTCAAGTTATGCTCCGGACAAGGAAAATGCAACGGAAAACTAGCAAAGGGTAATAACTCTATAATTACTTCACACGGAGTTATGGTTCTTATTTACTGCCTTTCCTCTTATTGGGCTTGACCATTGTATGAACTTGTTTTGAATCCCAACCAGTAGTTTTCAACTTCGGACAAGGAAAGAGTAACAAAGGCCAATAACATTGTAATTAGTTAAAATGAAATGGAATTATGGTTCTTGTACACTGCACTTTTTTCTCTCAATGTGCTTGACCATTGTATGAAATTGTATTAAGTCCAACTAGTGGTTTTCAAGTTATGCTCCGGACAAGAAAAAAAATGGGAAAAAACAAAGGGCAATGACTCTGTAATTACTTTGATATAGTTATGGTTCTTGTGCACTGCATTTCCTCTTATTGTACTTGACCATTGTATGAAGTTGTTTTGAATTCGAAAAGTTTTCATGCTCCGGAAAAGGAAAAGTAACATTGGGCAATAACTCTGTGATTCGTCCAAATGGAGTTATGGTTCTTGTGCACTGCACTTCTTTCTCTCAATATGCTTGACCATTGTATGAAGTTGTATTGAATTCCAACTAGTGGTTTTCATGTTATGCTCCGGACAAAAAAAAAGCAATGGAACAATAACAAAGGACAATAATTCTATAATTACTTTAGATAGAGTTATGGTTCTTGTGCATTGCACTTCCTTTTATTGTGATTTTTTATTCATTTTACCTTTATGACATACATGTATATAAATGTCATATACATTCATTTGACAAAGTTACATAATAATATCAAATCATATCATAATTTGTTTAAGTGAATGTTATCTCTAGCTTAATTTTTACTTATGTCATAGCTTTTTTTATTTTTTTTATAAAAGGAAAAGAGGAAAAAAGTCCAAGTTATAAAAAGAGGACAAAAGTATTAGTTTTTTATGGTATTTCCTAAATGAAAACAGTGTAGAAAATTTGAAGTTAAAAAAATGAGGGAAGGTGTAAGAAAGAGATATCATACCCATGTATTGTAAAACGCATGTTTAAAGTTTGTCATTAAATCAAGGAACATTTCATAAGATGGTATTCTACCTTATTTGGAATAATTGCAATTTCTTTTTCAATAGTAATTCTTAGTTTTAGATATGACAGGACATGTTTGAAAGAAGGTGACTTTGGTCTACATTTCTGTTGAAAAATATAAAATTTCATTAGAAAAATAATCAAATTTATTACATCACTTTTCCAAATGTTTTGCAAAATACCAAAACTTTATATCTAAAACATTCCTAGTCCATTCCACATAACTTGAAAATGGTGTCATTCCCAGAATAGATGTTCAATAATTTAAGGCAGCATATTACAAAAATCACACAAATAGTTATTTATTTGTTGGAATTATTCGCATTAAATATTGATACTGAAAAGTTCTTATCTGGGTATCAATAGTAACTGTAAAAATTTGGCTATATACTGATTTCCATTTTATTTTATTATTTTCTAAAAAAAATCCCATTTACTTTCTGATCTGACTTTTGCTTTTGGTTTAACCCTCATTTGCTTAGTATATAGTAATTAATTGGTGCTTTACTATCTCTGATCTCATTAACTAAGGTCTTTAAGGGAGTAAACAATACATTTTCATCTTTAAGATTTTGTTTTATATTAGGATCTATGCTTGTGATGATTTGGTAGAACTTGGTAGAATTATATAATTCTTTAAAACGCTCAAAAGCGTAGAAGTCGTTTTTTTCTGTAGTCAAAAAGATGTTCTATATATTTTATACCTGTGTCATACCAATCTTTCATTTTAAAAAAGGTTACTACCATTTCTTATCTAGAATTATTCCATATAACTTGCTTTCCAGCTTTTTTTACTGTCATTTTTCCTAATAAAGTCAGTTTTCTGTGTTCCCATTGTTTTAGACAATTTTGAAACTTTTAATTTTGGTTGTAAATAAAGATCTATGTTTTTTTAATGTCGTTTGAAATGGTCATGCCTAAGTTTTTGCAGATTCAGATGTCAATTTAAAGTGTTTATCTTTGCAAAATATTAAATAAGTGTCTCTAAGAGACCCCACTCTTAAAAGAGTAGATTTATTCATATTAAGTTTTAAACCTGATATGTGTCCAAAATTTTTAATGACATCGAGTTTTTCAAACGAAATTCGTTTAGTATACCATTATTTAAAAAAAATGTTGCATCGTCTGCAAAAAGAGTCTGTTTTATTTCTTTTTCTTAACAATAATTCCTTCTATATCAATATCTTTTTATGTAATTTGCTTGAAATGCAATACATCTTATGAAGAGCAGAGATGATTGCGGGCATCCTTATCTTACACCCCTTCGTATCTGAAGAGAAGTTTCCATTATTAATCAAAACAGTACTTATTTCATTGCAAAATAATTTTGATAAAAGATTCACCAACATTAAAATTCTCTAAACATTGAAACATTAAATCATGAGCAATGCTTTCATAAGCTTTTTTCGAAGTCAGCTAAAAATT